TATTTCTCACTCTGTTTCCACTGTCCAAGTACAACCTGATTGAAATCATAAACACAGTCACCAAATTCATGAACTAATGCTTTAATCAAATAAGCTATTGTCCAATAGGACAATTCTCTCTAGAAAACTTGGAGACTTAAACCTACCCTGCCTGCCAACTGATGAGTGCTGCTTGTTATGCTTGACTGTATTCACCAAATGCTCTTTTTTCTTAATAGATCTTAGTTTGACATGTTTATTGTGGTGGGAATAGTAAATACATTCCTCACTGATAAACTAGTAAATTGATCTTTACAGTGTGTTTGCTAATAATCACACTACAGTGACCATCTATACATTTGGTATTTAGTTTTAATCATTACTAATCTTAACATTTTCACATTTGCGTTACCTGCTGATTGGATTTTCATGCTGTGTTTAATTTTCTTTTTTTTTCTTTCTCGGTTCAATTTCCACTTTCTTTTGAGAACAGTTTATTTGACAAGGTGGAATGAAATGTTAGACAGAAAACTTCAATCAATTCAGTAAAGCCTCTGCTGTTTGACAATTGCAAAAGAAGAGTCATTCCTATTTTGGTTACTATCATGGTTTATTTTGTTAATTACAAACTATTGACTGGACATACAACGAACATTAAGAGTTGTGGCTTGTTTGTCTATTAGGGAAGCAGTTTTCTTTTATGTTCCATATCTGTACGGACAAAAATACCTGTGTCCTATTAGTAATGGTGCTCATCTTTGAACATTAACAGAACACTATTATAATAATAACTTAGTTGCCATAACATCGGTAAGTTGAAAGAATGTCAACTAATTTGAACTAAATATTGTCTGACTTACATTAGAGATCTAAACAAAAGCAGTAAATCTTCTCTCCTTCCCAGCTCCTGATTTCTGACACAAGGACAATACTAACTGATATCTTACTTTTCTTGGCATGTATCACCCAAAGCTCACTTTGTTCCATTTTAGACTTAACGTTTGTATAATCCTAGAATCTTGATAAGAAAATTATATTTTATGTTCTACCTCTGTATAGACCAAAACATCCGTGTCTCCTACAAGTAACGTTGCTCATCTTCAAACACTGATAGAATCACATTATAGTAATAATTTGATTTCTGCAGCCTAAGTAAGTTGACAGAATGTCAACTAATTTCAGATAAATATTCTCTCATATGTCGGAGACTTAAACAAAGCCAGTATTTCTGAACCAAGGCCCAGATCAATTGATATCCTAATTTTCTTGGCATATGTCATGGGTAATGCATGCCAAGAAAACAAGGATATTGAGATGAGCCCCACTTGTTCCATTTTAGATTTGACATTTGTATAATCCAAGAACATTGATAACAAAATTATATTCAGATTTGAATAACCTAGATCCATTAGTTACATGTATTTTTTCATTATGTCCTGAGAATCTAGGAGTCACTTTTTCCTTTATGCTGTACTAAGTTTAGAAAATATCAAAATGCCTACAAATTAAACTGATTGGCAGGTTAGATAGTTAACTATTATCAACCAACACTAGGGTCCCATGTTAATAATTACAAGCAAATCTCATTATTCTGAAATAGTGAGTTTGATCTTCATTACTAGCCGCCAGCATCAGTGGTTGGTATTTAAAGCCAGGATCTTGAATTATGATTTTCTATGTAGGCTAGTTCCTTGGAAGATTCATCCAACAAAATCTTTGAACCCTTGAATTTGACCGTGGGCCATAGTATAAGTTAATTTTAATATGAAAAATAAACAAGCACAAAAAATATCAATATTGTTTTCTTGGCAATCATCTGTCTTGTGAGATAATGAACACACACACTGCTTGATTAAAATCAGTTCTGCCAATAACAACATCTGAAATGACTCAGCAATTTGATTCTTAAATGACAATCTTGTCTGCAGGTAATGTATGCAAAACTGGCATGGGAAATGTGAACTTGATTTTGCCATGTTTAAGCTTTGTGTCATTTTCTATCTTTCATCGGATGGTTATGCTCATGCTTGCCTCTCTTGATGCCTTCTTGAACATCTAGTTGCTGTTGTCACTCACAAGCTACTGCAAATTATCTGGTTCAATCTGTGAATTTCAAATTGCACTTGCAGACATCCTTAAAGTGCAGTGCAAGGTGGTCTATGGCCAGTTTGCAATAAATTGTATCTATCTATCATTCAGTGGATATGATCCAACCATTGTAGCCATAGATGACAGAGGAGGAGTTGTAACATTTGTAATGGAGAGAATTTGGGAAACACACACACACATGTATATTTTTTTTTATTGAAATTGTGTAGATTTGAACAGCGAAATTAGATCAGAACAATTTTGTTTACTGATGGAAATCTGATCTTGCCCATTTGCAATCGGGTCATGACAAAGACAATGAAAATGATCAAAATAATTTTTATCGGTTAAAATTTGAAATAGAGCTTACTAAGGCTATGAGAACTTTGAAATTCACATGATTTTGGGTTGAAAACGGCACTTGTGATAATCGCATGCGGGCCAAGGGTTGCTTTATGATCAACCAGATTTATCTATATAAACACGTAGTTATGCTGAAGAAGAGGAGACGGTCGAGCGAGACGGAAGAGGCCAGATGGGAGAGGCAACGATCGGTTGGCACTCCATCATTGCTGCATGCCGTCATGTGCATGAGCACCTGCAGGCGACCATTACGGGTCACGGTGCTACAGAAATCTTTTCAAAAGAGTGATTGGCTCGTCTGCTGTCAAAAGCAGTCGAGCTGGGTGGATTGAAAGTGACGTCAGAGATTGGAACCAAACACCCGCTAACATATGTTGTTGATATAAGTATGAAGAAGCGAATTACTCCTCCAACAATCTAAGACTGCTACTGCTACTATCATTACTACCACTGGAAACAGAAATGTCGAACAAGCTACAATAACCAAAGGTTGGTTTTTGCTCGTCTGTCTTCGAGTGCAGTCGAGGTGGGTGGAGAAATATCAGAGATTGAAAGTGAACAGAGTTGAATTGAAGGCTCGAAGAAGTATGAAAGTGATGTCAGAGATTAGAACAAAACTCCCGCCAACATGTACTGTTAATATAAGTACCGATGCTTCTGCTACCATGAAGATTACTACTACTGTTACTACTGCCAAGGATGAATGCAACTATAAACTTTAAGCCGAATACAGAAATATTTATCTCTCCATCACAAGAGTCGCATATCGTTCTAAGACGATTTAACAAGTTAATCAAAACCCACTCTCTGTCTAGAATCCAGTGTATGAGTTTTTCCTTTTCTTTTTACATCAAATAATTTTCTTTTCTGTAACCCGTTTCTTTCCTCTACTATTCTTTTCTGCTATATAAAAAACATTAACAATTCAACCATTGAATAGTTGTTTGTCCAGCTTTCTGCAGATATATATATTTTTTTTGGTGCATTCTAAATTTCTTAGCACAGACTCTCCAGCCATGTCTACATCTTCAGTCGACTGTGAATGGATGAATATCACTTCTGCTTCCTGGATCAAACCAAACACAACGTGGGCAGGAAGCAGGATTAAACCAGTGGACCAGTCAAATGATCTACGGATGCTCAGGGGACCTACGGTCACTCCCTTAAGTTTGGTTAAGACCAAGTAGACACTTCAACCCAGAGAGTAAGACGTCGGAGGTTGAGGGGTTGGGGTGAAAGTGTTAGACATTAAGAATACCATTAACTGTATCACAGCAATGTTAGTAATTTTCTCTTGCCATGTGAATGAGAATGGGAATGTTGTAGACAGCAGAGGTAGAAACATTACAAGCAGTTTTGTCTGACATAAGTCATCAAAGATTCATTGCCATACAATTTTTCATCAAGTATTGCTGATGATTGCAGTGCCAAGAGAATTAAAGTGATGATGTTGAGTGATACTGATGAAGCAACACTTCCACACAGAACTTTGGTTTTCTTTATACTGGTAAAATATTAATAACTAGCTTAAAAGCTGCACTCCATGCGCACTTTTAAGCTAGCTCCTGTGGAGGGCTAATTGAATCTCTGGCCCAAAACTAAAGGGACCTCTGCTCCAGCTTAGAAAACAGCAATGATAATTTTGAAGAAATAACTTTGAATTCCTCAATTCACTCCATAGAACTTCAAAACCTCACTTTAACTCTGATTTGAGCTATGTTCAATTCTGGCCAAAAGTCTGAGTTGGACCAAAAATTGAGTTCTTCAAATCACAAACTCTGTGGAACTTCAACACCTCATGTCATGAAACCTCCCACGTTAACTCTGATTCCTTGGCATTTTGAAGAAATAAAATTGATTTCCTCAATTCACAAAATTTTTGAGATATTTTAAACTGAATTTAAAACAAAAAATTTTAAATTCACCAAGTTTTTGTGTTACTTTAAACTCAATATAAATTAAAAACTTTTAAAATCACTAATTTTTTTCAGTTAACTTAAAAATTTGAATTTTTAACTGTTCTCTCTTTATCCGGACACCAATGCTGGAGTACCATATAAATGGCAGATTTTCAAACCTGGGATCATCCTAATTCTAAAAAGGTGTAATATGTCTATGTAGAGCAAGTGTGGCCCAAGTTAGAGAGGTTTCAGACATATGGACAGACAGACAGAATTTGCCGTTTATTTATTTAAAAGATAATGACAACAGTAGAGAAATAAAGTAAAAGATTTAGAAGAAATTGTCTTTTTTAATATAGAAAAAAAAAATTCTGATACAGATTAAAACATTTGAGAGAAGGTTGGTCAAAATTTATGAAATTCATGGACTTCTTGCTGAAAGAAGATCAAATGAGTGTAAGTTTTTTTCCAAGACATTATTGGCAGAGAAGATACTGAATAAACTTGCCAATATTGTTTTAAATACAAAATATACTTTAACCTCACTCAACTGTTAAATTCAACTTCAATCCAAAGTAGTTGATGTCAACAACAATTATCTTTTGGACAGAAGGTTGATTTATCCTGCATGAGTTTGTATTTAGCTTATCATAGAATTGAGGAGAGGCTTTAAAGCAAAGCATTGAGCTGACTGGTGATCATTTCGATGTCTGTCACTGCCCATTCAGGCAAAGGCAAGTTCTTTTCTCGCATTTCTTGTAACTGACGGGTTCCATCTTGTAATAAATTCACAATGTTTCTGTACTCTGCATCCCACACGCTTGGAGTGGATCCAAGTTTAGATTTCTTCTTTACAGGCTGAGAAACAAAAAAAGAAATCAATCCTTCAAAAAAAAAAAATCCTTTTAAAAAAAAATTCATATAATTCTTAAATAATGATCAATATTCCTAAGTTTGTGATCTATATTTCTGCAGATATTTTTCTCATAACAAGAGATTTTTTTTTTCTGAGAATCTACTGTTTTTACTTATATAACCTGTTTTAAAAGCCACCAAAATATACTAAATTATTGTTAACTCAGGGATCTTCTATTCCTAATGAAAATCTCTAAAGAAGCACAAGTCAGTGAATCACAACTACATTTCACTGGCCTAAGACATTCCATTCTCTATTGACCCATGTAAAATAAAATATATTAAGATAATTTGTGCGCAATAAAAGAAGCTGAACAAATAAAAGGAAATGAGAGAGAAACTTGTTAAAAATGGTGATGATACAATGAAAATCACTTTATCACCTTTTTTTTTCTTTTTAGTATTAAATAAACATAACATTTTCTAAGGTTTTACTAAAATTGTAGTTATAGTCTAAATTCAAAAGCATAACATTAATCCTGTAATCTAGTCTCAATCTGGACCAGGAATCAAAGGAGATAACAAAAACAGTTCCTTATAAATATAAAGGCCAAGTACAAAATTAACATATGTGCCTAGTATTAAGCATTAAACCCCAGATCTGACAGATAACTTAATTTAATGACATTTCTTTTAAAATATTATATTTACCTTCTTTAAATTATATGTGAAAATCAGCTTAGTCAAAACTTTAATTTCCAGTGATTATTATATCACTGTCATAATTTCTTCAGTACAATGATTTACATAGTATTTCAATTTGTTTCAAGCCATATGAACAAAGTACTAAAATAGTCTTTGAAATATATATTTTGAAAGACATGCATTTACATGCATATTAAATATTGAAATAAAAATATCTTCACAAATTTTTGCTCAGCTCAGCCAAAAATAAACAGTTATATTTCACTCTTTCACTTCATCTATGAAATTCCCCTGACTTGCCAAATATGAACTTACCTCTTGTGCATCCAAATCCTCCGAACATGTTACAGGTTTCTTCACAGAATTCTGAAATGGTACACAACAAGGTTTTGATTAAGATTATAGAACAACTGCTGCCATTTTAGATTCAAACTTGTTTCGATGTTCCTGCCATATTTAGACTAATGTTCTCCTCTTAATACTTGAAATATAACTTTACAGAGATTCTTCTTTTCTGGTAATGTCCATATTCTCACTGCAACATGGCTTATTTTCTCCTTATTTTATAAGACCTAAAATTTGCTTCTGGAATGGTTAGAGAATGACAAACAGGTTGACAAAAAAGTGAAATTTTTTTTCCCTAAAAGGTTTAGATTCTTTTCTTAGGTTGGTACATTAATTTGATGGAGCTGAATAAAATAATGTCTTCAGTGTTTTTTTTTTTTATGGCTTATAAATCTTTTGTTATTTAAAGGCTATTTAAAGCCAAAAAATATATTTAGATTGTAAGAATGTTTTTTTTTTTGAAGATAATAATAATAAGGTTATTACTTGATACAACACATACCTGACAAAAGCTGAAGTGTGTACTATCAAAATATTGATCTAAAACAACAAAAATGGGGATGCAGGTCTGAAGAAGTCATACTGATACTTCAATGACAGACAAACTTCAATAAGTGTCCAAAGCAGACGAAATAAAATAAGACATAAATAGTAACAATTGTACAAAGTAAAAAGATGAGTAAATTATTACAAAAAGGTGGAGGATAATCAAAGAACTTATTTATTATTTATGTGCATTATTAAAAGAGTTCAATTTACATGTGTAAAATCATGAGAACCATTAGTAGTAGTTAAAAGGTGAATGTTTTTTTAATGCTTATCATTTAATAAATCTAGTATCAAAATTTGTGAGGAGCACATAGAGATTCAGCTAAAATACAACTCTGGTAGACAGAACACATTAGCCTTGCTTAAGAGTCTGTCTAAGTAAAGAATCACTCTGATTTCAAAATCAAGTTAGATAGACTTACCAATTTTTCTTTGTTCATTTAATGGTTCAATATCCAACCTGTAATGGCTAAATACCCACCTCTTGGTCAAAACATTTGCCAGTTGGTTTTAAGTTAACTGGATCCAGGACATTGCATTGATATCTATTTGTTCAATCATATCCCTTAAAACAGATAAATCTGTCCAGAGCTGCTCATCTTGTACCAGTCTTGTAGAATACACAGGTTTAACAAGGGCTTTATTGTCTACATTGGCTTTCCAAATGGGTGAGTCTTCACTGACCTGTACTACTCCTTTCAAAATAGCTCCAAGATCTATCAGTGCTTCAGCAGAATCAATGAAGGCCAAAGACTCTGAAGTCATAGCAGATTTCGCAATTTGGAAAACTCGTTTCTTCTGTCATGCCAACAAACATCTTCTTTCAATGTTACTAAGGAAGATAAAATGGCTTCCCTGGGACCCTCCTCCCTCTTTCCAAATGATGCATCACTAAAGCATTCAATCACCAGTTCAATCTTATTGACAAAAGGGAAAATATTTTAAGTTGATTTTCCTTACACTTTTATTCATTACTATTTTATGTGTTCAGTTTGTGCCATTTTAGTTATTCTGCTTAGTTCACAAACACCAAAAGACACATCTGGCCATACTTGTGTCTCCTCCTAGTTCAATTCATTAATAAGAGACAGCAGTTTCTTTAATTCTTCCTCAAGTTTATCCAATTGTGTTCATTGTTTCTTAACTGTTTATGTACTCTTATTGGTTAATTTCAATCCATTTCTTCTTCTGTACAATATTCAAACCAATACATTTGAAAGAGTGCTATGAGATCCAATAGAGAACCTCTCCCTGATCGATTCTATATCCGTGGACTCAACCAAATGTTAATGTTTACTAGCACACTCAACCCAAATAAATATCAGGAGCTCCATTTTTTATTAACCTGGAAGTGCTCATTTTAATTAGTAAGTTGGCCAGCTTATTATAAGTGTATTATACATACTTTTGTTAACTTGAGTTTCTGACTTAATTATTTAACAGATTAAACTCCTTAGTCACCTTGATGACAACTCTTCAAGTGGCCAATATCTTCATCCTTGTGATTAGGGCGGATGAACTGCAGTTCAGTAAGCAGCTTCCAAGTAATGGTTGAAAGAGGATTTGGGATCCATCAACGTAATTTTCTTCCTATTAAAAATCATGGACATGCAAAGTATGTGCAGGTAGTGCAATGAATAGCAGCTCTGAATGAGAAATCAGAGAACTGTTCTATTTCAGTGAAATTCATTGTATTCATTTATATGCAAATACCCTTAGGAAAGGTATGAATCCATCTCTTCTTCTCCCAGATATGGATTAAACAGCAGGGCAGACAGGGCTCTCTATCCATGGTTGGCAACCAGTCTAGAATAATTCTGAATTCAAAACTGTAACAATCATCCGTGATCCCCAACCAAGGGCAATAAGGATGGGAAGAAGCAAAAAAGCAACAACTAAATTTGCTAAACATGGTCATGTGATATTATTTAGCCAATCAAAAATGCTGCTTCTCACAACTGCTGAAAATGGTTCCCATTCTTACAGTGAGATTAAAGCAACAGCAATGTAGCCCTTTTTTTGTTTTTAAATGCATATACAAGAGGTTTGAACACTTACATTTTGCCTTATCAAATGTTTAATGGATGAAAAAGAAAAATGTTATCTTACCTGATCAAGCCCTTCCGAAGAAGTTGCATTATTTTCTGGAATCTGGTGTTCTTTATTAATATTTGAGCTTTGCAATTGAAGGTAGGTTATTTTCTTATAATTTACATCACTATAGGCTGTCTGTAAAAGATTAGGAAAAAGACAAACCTATATTTTATTTCTTACAGCCAAGGAAGAAACAATTACTGGGATAAGAGTGCATATACTAACTTAACCCCAAGATTTCTTGTGGTACCACTAATGATCTATCAAATGTTGGTGCTTATTATGTAATCTTAGAATATCTAATCTACTAAACCTTATTTAGTACTACATGTGACCAAATACAAAGGGGCATCAGAAATAGTATAATTATAATATACCAATCTCCCTGCTCCTAAGTGAGCTTAGGCCATACTAAAGTAGGCTTATTAAATATTGAGTTCTATCCTAGCAGGTATATAACTTAACTCTTACTGCCACATAACACATACATGTTTTTTGTGACAAGGATGCATATTGCCTCCACTGCAATATGTGAACCTTTTCTATAATTTTAAGATTAAAAGGATGTATTTTTTCCATAAATTTCTGGCTATGTTGTTTTATTATCTATATATATTTTTTTTTTACTTTGATTAGTGGAGTTGTGCTTTGACAAAAGAAAAAAAAAGTTACAATTAAGATTTTGTGCAAAAAATGTGTATTTCTTACATGTACTGTACATATTACTGACAGTAGATAGCATATGTAAATAAAGAATGTCATCATTGAATTATTTTTTTTAAATTTTAATTGGTTGATATTTCTAAATAATTTACTGCACAATTTACACATTTACAGCTGCTTCAAAAGCACAATAGATGATTGTGCAAATCTGCCAATAATTGCTTCTGCATCCAATTCATCAAACTATTCCTTTTAAATTGAAAGCAATATATATGATTCCAAATTCTCCTAAGATTGCAAATTTCTTAGCATTGTCTTTATGATCTTTAACTTTGAATATATTGTCTCACCTTGGACTTGAGTAAATTGTGCAGACGAATTTATAAAGTTCTTATTCATTTTTATTACTAAAACAATTGTCTGTGTTCATTTCTTTATTGCATTTTTATTTGATATATGGGGCCCACTCTATCAGGGGTCCTACTTGCCATTGGACAAACTGACACCCTGGTCAGTTAGCCACTGCATGACACTATAGAGAGAAAAAAAGAAACCTTTGTCAAAGACATGTATTAGCATCATGGTTTAATAAATTGTAATTACTAAAATAAAACATAAGTAGTCTTAAATAGCAATTTCTAATCATTGTAATCAAGAAAATTTTTTTCAGTAATTATTACATCATGGAAACAACTCGGTAATAATAATGAGAAATCAGCAACTAGTGTCAACAGAAAGGTTTCAACTTTTATGGCAGCTCACCAGTGTTATTTCTCATACATCTCTTGAGAAAAACAGATTCTAAGGTTTCTTTCCTCATAAATACTCACAATTATAAAAACAGATTTACTAGAGGAGGCAGTAGCAAACCTGTGATCAGCTAGACTTAGATATTAATGGAAAGGCCATAATTAAGTGTTTAGAAGTCAGAGTCATAAAAAAAAGTAACAAGAAATCATCCATGTCCCATATGTTATTAACTAAGAATCTGTAATGTTATCAGTCCTGACCTGGCATCTTGGCTTCAATCACTTTCCTACTACTGTAACATAGCTTCCCTGAGCCTTTTCTATAAATATTTTCATGGTAATTGTTCTGATGAAGTTTCCTCTCTGTTACCTAGACTTTATGAATTTAAGCACATTACTAGATTGACAGCTAGGTCTCATCATTTTACAGTTGAAATAACTAGATGTAACCGTATATTCTATGCTAAAAGTTTCTTCACTTGCACTCTCACTTGTGGAACTCCCTTCCACTCTTGCTTTCCAGTCAACTTTGATCTTCAAAAATTTAAATGCAATGTTAATCGTTATCTTCTATTTTCTTAAATCCAGCTCTTTAATTGTTCTCTCTCCTTAATAATGTTTTGCTTTTTCTTATAATCTGTCACACTCAGCAACCCTTTGCATCTTAGTGGCTTTATTGGCTTGCATGGGGTGAAATGATTAAAAGAAATGCTGGCCTGAATAAAAATGTATATAATAACAATTTAACACCTTGAAAATTCAAACATAAATTGTTCTAAGTCACTATGACAAGTCTACTTACTTTGTTAAGAAAAGCAACTGCGACATCTTGAAGAATTTTTTCCTGATTTTCATTTGCCACATGCAAGCATTGGGGTACCAAAGTTTCACATGATGTCTCTTGAGCAAACAATGCAAATGCTTCCATTGCTCTGTGATGGATGAGACAATTGGAATTCAGAAGAAGAGACTGAAATGTTTTAGGCACATTACTTTCCATCTGTTGGATAATCTGAAATTGATATTTATTTTTTCAATAGAAATAAACATTAGATTGAATGCTTACAAACAACAAGCAGATTTTTCATCCTTGGTTGTTATACTCATAATAAGATTTTTGTTGCTGTTCTTCCACTTTTCAGCACCACCAGAACCACAAGCTGAACTCACAATTGCCAGGGATACAGACATTTTAACCAACACATTAATCCACTAAGCCATGCGTGGGGACTCTGGTCAACACCCGCAAGATAGAAGGACTGTTCGATGGGCAGGGCTTACTAGACTTAGGATAAACTCAGAGAAATACTTTCATTAGTGATTACTGTTTGAGTTTTCTTGGCGACTTGATTTTTTATTTGTTTTGTAAATATTTTCGCTGAAATAATTTACAAAAAATGCTGTATGATTGCGCTGTCCCAAAATGCAAAGGAAATTATAAAAAGGTATTTCTGGGTATTATATTTTTTCTTGTTTTCAACCATTTTTTTTTTATTCAGCAGCAGTTTGTCAAACACTGATCTGCTGGGGATATACCTGATAATGTGTTAGGATTAGGTATCACCTGATATACACATAAAAACTGCTGTAATAACATATCTTTAGTTTCACTTAGAAATAATGGGAAGCTAACAAATGAAACTTTCACAGTATTGCATCATACTACTCATGCAATTCTAGAACTGACCAAATATTTGCATAGAAAAATTTAAAATGATGTATGCATAACCAGGAAAATTTCAAACAGATCACCTTGAGGATAGATTTGGCCAGTACTGGCAACTTGGTGGAGATCAATATATCTCTATATGTCAAATGTTTGATTGTAAAAAAAAATCAGAATGATGTCAGTTTTAAAATTGAGCCTTCCACTTAATAACCGAAATAGTGATTTGAAGAATTTACAAACTGGGATGAAGTGGCAGGGGAGCAAAATTTAGATATTTATAAATTTAACAGATGAGGATGTTAATGAATACAGATAAGTTGTTACTGTTATATTATACATAGCAGGTTATTGCTGTTATGTAGTTTTTAAGAAAATGAAATGCAACAGTTGCAAGAATTTAATATCTGGAAGTGATAATGAAGACAAAATACCTGAAACAAACAGCTGTTTTCAGGGGATTATTCTTTATTTTTATAAATTAATGTTGAATAAAGTTCAAACCTTGGTTGCTTTTTTTTTTTTTAAATTGTAATTTAAAAAGTATTCTTTATTTAGAAAAAAAAAAAGCCTACAATCACTAATTTTCAACAGCTCAATTTATACTAATTGTTGTGATCTCATGTTTAAGTGAACAGGCTTTCTAACTCGGTGGTGTTACTCTGGTACAGTAAAAGAAATAGACAACTGGCACAAAGGTGAATAAACTGGTGAGTTATCTCCCCTAAGCACGAAAAGCAGAATAAGAACAATCGACCCTCTTGGATTGAATAAAAAGGTTCAGTTTTAAATTCTAAGATGATTATCGAGTACAATGACAAACGCCTAAGAATAGCATGAGCTTATTAATGATAAAGTTCAAATATAACTAAGTTATTATATATTTTGTCACATTCAGAGGTTTATTGTTCAATTATTTCTGGTAATATTTCTTCCTCAAATTTAATTAAGTTTGCATAATTTCTAATTTGCAACCAATGATTAGAAGATAAAATTTAATTGAAATTAAACATTTTCAAAAAATGCGATCACACATACAAATCGTTATAATTGAAAGTTTATGAATTTTAATAAAACACATTTCTATGTGAAATATTAATTTCTGACAAGCATAATACCCACAAAAATGATGGGATTATTTATATATGGATTAGCACTTAGTCTAGAATCAGTCTGTAGGATCTATATACCCTGCCTAGAATCAAAGTGTTCATCTAACAGTCATTTCTACTTAAGATCAATGTGTAGTATCTGTGCATTGTTAAAATGCAAAGGTTGCTACAGATTGTTGATTAATTTGATTTTACAGCTTATCAACCCATTGTGGGTTATCTAAAGTGAAAACACATTTCAGATTGCAGGAGGTTGCTTACAGTAACTGGTGGTCTTCCATTTAAGTACAGACTGGGCTTGATACTGCTTAATTCTGGTGATCAAATGTGAATTGATGTTTTCAGCATGATCGGGTTGTAGGCTATTATGGAGAAAATTATTAGGCATTATTGTTAGAATAACAAAACACAAAAATTGCCTAATAATATTCTGATATATAGAGATTTATATATCATATCCTCTCATAGAAAAATTATATATATATATATATATATATATATATATATATATATATATATATATATATATATATAAAAAATATATATATATATATAGGTAACTACACTTGTCTCGAAAAACCTTTGGTTTCTTGATTTGCTAATGATCAAATCAATTTCAAATGAAAAAAAGGTTTTAAAAAAAGAAAGAGCGAAGAACATGAACGTCTGTCAGAAATGATCGTACAGCATACAGGTCCAAAAGCCCAAAAAAAAAACCCGATATGAGTAATCAACTAACTAAAAAAGTGCTCAATACAAAAGTAAAGCAGACCTAGTCAAACCTAGAGAGCCAGACAAACCTACCAAGGTTTCACCTGTGAAACCTCTAGGTTTGACTATATATATATATATATATATATATATATATAAAATGTATATTTGGGCAGCAACCTTTCTTTCAAGGAAAATTTGATTAATTTTTTATTTAGTTTTCCTAATATTCTTACACTTTTCCATTTGGTGGGAATAAGACAGTGTAAAAATTGTCCTTACTGTCTATTATCCCAAACACTTTTGGACACTTTTTTTAGCCATTTTCAAGGGATTTTTTTTTTTTTTGTTAAATGTTGTTAATTTTTTTTCATGTTTATCTGTTTAAAATGTTGTTTTTGTGGTGTCTAAATAGTAGTAACATTTATTAAGAGCCTCACAAATTGAGCATGGCTGGAATTTGAGTTGATGTCATTCTATTCTAAAAAACCTTCAATACACAATTTCTACTGCTGAATAAGGTGAGATTTATACTGGGTGCCAGATGTTTTATGTAAAGGGCCTCTCTCACAGTGAGATGTAACAGGACCTATATATAGGATGCTAGTGTTATCAACCAGCATCATCTTTATGGGTTGTTGTAAATTGTGGGTGGTTAAGTGTCTTTTTATGGCACTTTGGTCAGGTAAGTGACACATGAGGCATCAGTTCAAGGAGGTGGTGGTATGACCGATATAGCAAATTGATTTATAACAAGAAACACAGTTTTGTAGTGAAATAGATACACTATATTGGTCATCACTAGTTTAGATTTCATAGGGTTATTTTGATTAGTGATGACTAGGTTGCTAGTTTTCCATTTTCTGTAATATAAGTTTTACATGACAGTTTGTTTCATGCTTGAACATAATCTTGATGACGTGAAAATTGCATTCAAGCATAAAACAGACTGTCGCCACTCTGTGCTGATCTAGTGTCAACTTTTATATTTACATATACTCTATCTCTGATATTGAACACTTTTACCCATAAATATAGCATCCCTTAAAACTATATTTTTATCACCACACATCCTATATATATATATATATATATATATATATATATAGAGAGAGAGAGAGAGAGACTGCATTTTATATATGTGGATATTTATTTCTTCCATCTTATTTCTCAGATTATTATTTTATGACATGTATACAGCAAAATAAAGAATAAATTTTGTTGAAAGCTTGTTCTTTATTTTTGAGAATTGCAATAAAAAAGTAAAAGAAATACTAGTCAGAAGTTAATTATAATTTACGATACTTCATTTAAAAGATTCAAAGACTACGACACATTCATGTTGTAGTAAAAAAAAAAAAAAAAGACAAAGTAATGTGCTAGTTTTTAAAAGATGGTCTTACTGCAAAATATTCAGCTTAGTAAATAAATAGATTTACCTCAGAGATTTTGGGGGCTTCTATTCTTCGAGTCTCCTTTAAGAAATCAGCTATGGCCAATTGCAAGGCTTCTGATGACTGGAACTGCAGCAGAATGGGTAACAAAGGTAGAATCTGTTGGGATAAATTAGATATTAACTGTTAAATACAAACAAAAATCTTTTAAGTTTAAAATTAGTTCATTCTTTGACCTAAGTGGGTAGCTCTACAAATAGTGCTACTTTTATAAACGTGTATATTTTTATTTATAAGTTCACTGAATTAGCCCATTCTCTCAAAACAAAATTGTTACCTGCAAATAGGAGAAGCAATTTCTTTCAGTACAGACACGTTAATGGATACCTGATCTAACCAATTCACTTCCTTTTGTTGTAAAAAGAATTTCTGATGGTGACAGAGTTAGTTTGAAATATTCTTGGATATAATGTATCCTTGTCTTATTTAATTTTAATACTGGTAAAAAGAAAAGAGAAATTTGTTTTTCAATAAATGACAGAAAATTTTATCCTGTTTGTATTCAAAACATTTTCTGTATATATTTCCACTCAATGTACTTGGACTACTGTGTCTGAGTTGGGCATCTGGAATTCCAGTACCCTATGTGTGTCATATTCAAAAACCTTTTGTAAAAGAAAACATTTGTACACAAATTTTATTTAACCACCTTCAAAATTCTCCCCTTGAGAGTTCATACACTTCTCCCAGCAGTTCTGCCACTACTGGTAACATCTTTGGAATGCCTTCTCTGGAATGCTATGGACCTTGCTGTCGCTTTTCTCACAACTCAAATCACTTCCATTTCAGTATGGTTTTCAGATTGGGGAAGAGTCAGAAGTCACATGGTGCCAAGTTGGTAGAGAGCCTGCTGAACAAGTGGTGCATTGTTCTTCAGCAGGAAAGCTTGGATTATGTGGGTAGAATGAACAGTACACATTGCCATGATAAAGTTGCCAATTTTTCATTGTCTACATGTCCAGCCACTTTTGACGTACAGCATCATGAAAGCAATGTATAACCTCCAGATAGAATTCATTATTGTTTGGCCTTGTAGTACGTTTTCACGATGCACAATAACATGGGTGTCAAATAAACAGCCCAACATTACCTTCACATTGCTGTGAACCTATTGTGCTTTTCTGAAATATAGTGATGATGGATGCTTTCATTGGGAGGACTGGAACTTGATTTCTGGGTTGTAACCATAAACTCATGTCTTATCACCAGTGATAGTGGTCTTCATGATATCTAGGTGATGGTTTGCACAATACAGCATGTCCCAATTTGTTTCTGCTGCTCTGACAGCACACCTTGGGGATGAAGATCCTGTTCTTATTCTCACTTCATGAGCAATTTCCTGGGTTGTTACACAATGGTCTTCCATGACTATTCGCTAAACCTTCTCAATCAGCTCCTTGTCTTGACTTGTGAATGGCCTGACTGGGCATGCCTTGCTCTCCAATGAGGTGCAGCCATGTCTGAAGCAGTTGTACCACACCTTGATCTGAGTTTTATCCATGGCACCATTGTCAAAGTCTGGCTGAATTTTCTGGATGGTTTGAGTTGAGTATCATCAAGTTTTTGACAAAATTTGATGCTCGATGCATTTGGTCATCTTGTTAGAAAAACGAAACTCCGACAAGTATACACTACATGTCTGTACTCTAGGTGTAACAGCTGGGAACTGTTGTGACCTGCCAGCATGAAAATTTTCATGCATGACCAGGAAGGGTGGTGGCACCTTCCACCCAATAGATTTTGTCCACACAGCATTAATGTTGGCAAGAAAAAATAAAATTGGATACTTTTTGAATGCACTTTGCATGCATGCATGTATGTATGTAGAGAATTTACATAGAAAACCCACATATTAACATTCCTGGTTACATTGGATAATTGAAATATAATACAATGTTTTGATTAAACTTACTTTTATAAATTACTATATAAGACTACATATAATTTTATTTACCAAAAGTAACTAAATTTAATAAACTATAGATAATGATGCACTGCCTTTAATTTTTGCTTTATAACATTATGTGACACTTGGCATAAAGAAATTCATATATTGAATTAATACAAGTAAAAAGATTACTTAATATGTAGTTTTAATGAGAGAACTATTTTCAAACTTATATATTCTTCTACTATAAAACCATTGAGAACATGGGCGATCATGGCTTGACACAACTTCCTGTCTTTTGTATCTCTGAGTAAGTTTTGTCTTTTTGTTATCTCTCCCAATCCCCGTTTTGGTAGCTCATTATGTAGGTTATTCACTGCTTTCCTCTGTTACTCATGCCATCACTATGTTCTATGAGTGTTAAATTCTTTCTTCATTATGTACCATAATTTAAATAAATCTAGATGAACTTACTGAGGCAATATTACTGACATTCATTAAGGAGATCAACTGTGCTGACAGCCTGAGCAGTAAACTCAAAAATAAAGGGTACAAAGGTTGGTCATTATAATGAACTCCAAGTTTTGAAACAAGTGACCATAGTAACCCAACTCTCTGAAGCACTAAATGATATAAAGTGCATCCATTTTTGGCAGAATCGGTCAGGACCAAACTCAAACTCAATAAACAGTGCAGGGCAGAAACCTAAAATGAAAAAACAAAAATATCACTTGACATTTTAGTGACCAAAATGTCTCAAAAAAAATTTATATTCATACACACACACATATATATATATATATATATATATATATATATATATATAAAAAAGGCTTAAACACTAATATTCCATGGTCATAATTTATTCCATTGGAATCGTAAATACGATCCAAATCATCAGACCTACAAATTCAAAAATGAAAACAGAAAAAAACAACTCCGAAATCAAAACAGAATTTAGAAAAGTGTAAGTATGAGGAGGAGTGACATGAAACCTTAACAGAGAATTTTTTGGAGATGTGGGTGGGGTGGATTTAAAAGAGGAGAGAAAGAAAGTCGACGAATGTCTAATACATAAAGATACATTTCGTGGTGACATATACACACCACAGACAATTCGGATAGGAAGGAAAAAAAAAAAAAAAAAAGGGTGGGGAGAGAGATGGGACGAAGGAAAATAAAATTGTGTTTACTTAAAGGGGTTTTGTACTTGGGAAAATTAGTATAGACTACAGGTTACTAAATCAAATATAAATATATGAAGATGAATATAACGATTGTCTCATTTCGCAAGGACCAAATATTTCTATGTTCAAAAACACATACTAATACACACAAAAAAAACCTATACAAGTAGGTACATACACTTAGGCATGTACTCACACACACACCCAGACATATGAATAAAACAAATAAAAATTTAAAAAAATGTGTTGAAATTTGTTAATGTTTAATTTTCATCATACAGTTGAACTAAAAAAAAAAAAAAAAACACAAGTGAATCACATTGTCTCACTAATGTAGATTTTGGCATAATGTCAGTTCATTGACTAAAGTATATAAAGATAAAAATTTTCAAAATTGTTTATACAAGTTTGGTTAAAAACCAAGAGTTCGTTCTTAAGAAGTTTTTAATTTATTTTTTGCATATTTCAGATTATATGTACCCGAAAGCAAAAAACTGATCTGAAATGTAGTAAAAAATAAATAACAAAAATCTTATCAAAGAAATTTTTGTCGCCCCCTCAACCAAACTTATTTAAACAAAAAATTGCTATCCAAATACACATATATATATATATATATATATATATATATATATATATATATATATATATATATGAATATTGGAGTAATGGATAGTGGCTTGGATTGAGGGATCAGAGAGTCAAGTTTGAATTCTAATCGTTACATTCACTTATGTGCAAATACACTTGGGAATCTGTCTCTTCTCCCTCCAGCTATAGGCAAATAGCAGGACAGACTGGGTGCTATAACCTTGGCTGGCAATGGGTCTAGAAGAAGGACAGCTCTAAATTCAAAACCTCCAATTATGGGTTAAATAGTAGGACAGCCTAGGTTCTATAGGCTCATTTGGCAACCAGTCTAGAAGGACAACTCTGAATTAAAAAAAAAAAATAATAATTATAGTGTTTTCACATTGGTCAGTTAGCAATAGTAGAGAGAGAAATTGATATTGCTTAAATTGACAAGAAGTTTACATTGAGAGAGAAATGATCCATGCAGCAAAAACTTTCAAGTAAGAAGAGTCTTGAAAATCAATATTCAAAATCCTGGCTTTTACTTGGGCCCAAACATCAAACATGAACACTGCTGGAAAATATGTAATAACCTTTGCTTACAAGTAGGCCACACACACACACACACACATATATATATATATATATATATATATATATATATATATGACTATACTGTAATCACAGAATCACCTTGTATAGAAAATAAAAATACTTCTTTAGCAATAAACATCAAATTTTGATTTCATCAGACTTATAGAAATAGAAAAAGCTAAGGCTAAATGTACATTAAGCAAAAGTATAGCAAAAAATGATTTTGTTCTTTCTAGAAGGAAAATGTTGTCAATTATATACCAAAAATATTACTTAAACTGATAGAGGTACATAGAAATAGACATTTTTGGCAGGGTCAGCAGAGCTAACTTACAAAGCATTTAAAAACAACACTGCTGATTAATAACATCACAAAAGTAAATTAAAAACAAATAAAAAAAGGATACTTACTACAGATTTAAAACTTGTGGTATCATAAAGATTTGCTGTGCAGAAGGTATGAATAAGTTTGGCACATGTTTGTACCAATTCCTTCTTCAGTCGCTTTGAAATGTTCTCCTCAAGGCTTGATAAATTCACACCAGCCCAGAGATTCAAGCATTTAGCAGGGGGAAACAGCTTCAAAATCTCCTCCTGGAAGAAAGAAAAGGGATCAACAGTTTAGACACCAACAGTAAGACATACTACCATTTATTCCTGTCTCAATAACAAATCTGCCAGAACTGACAAAGTAAATCTAGCTGCTGCCCTTGAAAAGGACCTCCAATCAGTGGTTAACTGGAGCAGGAAATGGCTTGTAAATTTTAAAGCCTCCAAAACAAAACTGATGTCATTTAACCACTATAGAGAAACTTTTCTGTCTGCCATCAGCATGGCTGAGGCTAGACTCCTGGAGAGTTGAAGTGGAGTGACTACATCAAATAAATAGTTGCATCTAGCTGCAAGGAAAGTTGGATCACTGTGTTGTGCCAGAAAATGTTTCTTATCAGAGTCAATCTTGCACATTTTACAAATCAACCATTCACCTGTGCAATGAATACTGCTGCCATATCTGGTCTGGTGCTCCTGCTATTCATCTCAAGGTTCTTGACAAAATCCAAAGAAGGATCTGTAATCAATCCTGACTTGGCATCTCAACTTAAGTGACTTTCTCACTGAAATGACAAGGCTTCCCATGTCTTTTGCACAAATATTTGCATGACAACTGCTCTGACAGACTTTTTCCCTGATGCCCAGACTACATGAATTTAAGCGTACTACTAGATTGGCATCTAGGTCCCACATGTTTACTGTTGAATTAGCTAAATGCAACCACCACTTCTACTCCAATAGTTTCTTTTCTCGCACTGTTGTCGCCTTGCTTGAGATCAAAATAAAAATATATATATATATATATATATATATATATATATATATATATTGTGCAACTATTATAATATATTAGAACACAGTTAAAAGGTTTATTTGTAAAATTTTTCCAACAACCCAATATTCAGAATATGTACTTATGCAAAGTTTATATACAAACACGCATACACATAATTTGTATTGTGAAACCTTGCAAGCTCTCGAACAATGGATTCACAGAATAAGTGCTGAAAGAAGTTTTTTTGACTTCATAACAATGTAAAGCCACATTGCAGTTCACAAGTGGTTCAAATAAGTAGAAACCTAACATTCAAAATTGTTACACAGTTTTCATACAGCTCTGATTTCGTACTATCAGGCTTGTTTTGATTATAAAATTGAAAGACATGTTATAAGTCAATACTTTTCATCCAATTTGAAGTGCACAGGTTTCTTCATAGATAAAATGAAAAAAGTGGATTGGAAATACTTGGAATGTTTGGAACAATGTATAGCAATAAATGATGATTATATTAAAAAAAAAACATAAAACTTATAATTATGAAGAGAAATAAATTTACTTCATTTTGATACCACTTTCATTGTTCTATCTCATCTAAAACCAGTGGCTTAAGATTGGACACCATACTTTGTAGTTTGGAAGAGAAATAAATTTTCTTCATTTTGGTACCAGTTTCATTATTCTATCTGATCTAAAACTTGTTGCTTAAGATTGGAGACCTTACTTATCAAACAACCCTTGTAGTTTGGAAGAAAAATAAATTTTCATCTTGATACCAGTTTTATTATTCTATCTGATGTAAAACTTCTTTTATAGGATTGGAAGCCTTGTTTATCCCTCAACTCTTGTAAAATTGTGATACTGTGGTCAACTTACCTGATGATCAGCAGATTGGAACTTGAAAAGTCTGTGGAAAAGAAGATGAATGAATTGGTATGAGAGAGACTCTGACCATGTCACTGCCTGGCACACTTCAGCTAACACTTTCACATGGTTGTGACATAAAGTGGCACTACCATAACTGGAAAACAGAAAATCAAAATAATTACAGAAATGATGCAAACTGGTAAGCATTCTTTTCAACAACTTAATAAACATTTATCTTGTCCTTTAAAAATCAGTGTTAATAAACATTTTTAGTCCTCAATATTTGACAGAAATAAATTTTTACTTAATTCAAAGCCATTTTTATGTCAATAAACAAAACCCATAAACTTTGATATTAGTTTTATCAGTAAGTATCAGATGGAAATACAGGTGGCATAATGATTACTGGCACAGAAAACAGAATCGGTGAGCCAAGTTCAAATTCCAGCTGAGGGTGTTTGTATTCACTTCTCACTAATGCTCTTGAGAAGGACATGAATCCATCATTTCTCTATCTAGTTAGAGATCAAATAGTAGGTCAGACTAGACCCTTTAGCCTTGGTAGAGCAACCAGTCTAAAAGTACCATTCTTAATTCAAAACCAGCTTAAAAAAGTGAATTGGGTTCTGCCAGGCTATTAGACAAACATTGTGGCTGAAGTGCATGTAGTGCTGCAACAACCCTTCAAAGGGTTATGAGTTATATCCAGTTGTGTGACATCCTACTGGTTCGCTAAACCAATTCTTAAAATTATAAAAGTTTAGCAAACCGGTTGTTAGATTATCCAAAAACAATCTTATATATTAATAGGCGATATATAATAGCTAAAAATATAATTAATACCATGGCTGTAACTTCTGTGGTGGCTAAAAGTGGGTTTTCTGTGATGAATATAATTTATTCTGATGAAAATCATGTAGAAGTTAAAAATATTGCAAAACTTCTAGTCATAAATTTGATAGGTCTTCCATTGGATCTTTGGGATTGCAGTTTGAATGTTGCTAAGAAACCATAGAATAGCCAATGACACTAGAGTCAAAAAGCATAATACTTCTGAACGGAAATATGATGAGAACAGAATTTCAATCTGGAAATATCTTAATAAATAAATGTTTTCTATAAAATTATGAAAATGGTTCAATTCTTTTTGATACTATGAAGTGATTTGTTTCCATTCTCAGATTGAAAAGAAAATAAGTAAAATAGGTTCCTAAAGATTACCTTCCATCATAGAACCAGTTCCCGGAAATGCCATTATTAGTTATATCCATGCAATAAGTAAATACATTATGCTGTTTATTGAAAAATAAGTGTTAGAGAAAACAATTAACAGAAACTTGTAACATTATGGCAATCATTTAGGTGTATATAAGCAAGATTATACAATGATATGTATGTTGATGTGTGTTATATATATATATATATATATATATATGAATACGTATACATATATTCCCACATAAACACAAATATACAGCATCTGTCAAAAAAGCAACAAGCCATTTTAAATATTTTAAGATCAGATGTGTGGCCTTGATTTAACTTGACACCTTATCAAAAAAAATTTACTGTGTATGCATTAAAAACAAAGCAATATTTTAGCTTTTTGGTAGCTGATACTCTTTTTGATGATGAGTGGCCATTCAAAGTTAAACAGTCCTGTTCTTCTCCAAGACTGAGTCCTGGCTCAGGCTAATAAGCTGAATATACTGAGAGTTTGAATTCAATTCTCTTATTTGACTGGCAAGAGAGTGCATTCTACCATGATAGTTAACCCATAATTGGAGGAAGATGGATCAAACCTATGTTCTTTTAAAAGAACATAGGTTTGAAGTGAACGAAACAAGACTTGGTCAGAGTATGAACTCAGCAAGTCAATTCTATTTTCTGCACCAATAACCAGCACTACTTAAATAGACTGGTCAACTTGTAAAAATTAGGGAAAAATCTTTTTGGAAATAATTTTGTAGTTTAGCCTTCTTTAGACTGTCCTCAAGTTGCAACACTTGTCAGAATTGAAAAAAATATTGATTTTTTTAGAAGAGGAATCCTTCAGTATCTGTCTATATTTCTAAGATGAGGTACTATGTACACTATTTACATTATTTGGACTATCATCTTCATCTTTGTTGCCATATTTATCACAACATTTCAGTCATTGTACGCTCCGGCCTTCTTCAGGTGGTTGTTCTCGCAGATACCTCACCCGAGTAAGATCCCCCTCATAGAGAACATGACTAAAGACTATGTGTACGCCACCCGATGCAGCTGCAGAAAAAAAATATAAAGGGGAGACAGGCCACCCCCTTAAGGTAAGGTTTCAAGAACAGAAGTGGAAAAATCAGGTGTGGCTGACCGCATATGGAAAGAAAAGGGAGATCACCGCCCTCTGTGGGATCAAGTTAAAATCATAGACAAAGAATATTTTTGGAAAATTCATAAACTTAAAAAATCAGCAGATATGCTAGGCCACAAAAATCTCTTGAGCCAACCAAGCATATAAATGAATACAATATGGGAACCAGTAATAAGCATTGCCAGAGAAAAGCAATAACAACGAAAATTGCAATATGAGCTCTGGTAAAAAAAATTGCAATATGAGCACTGGTAAAAATGGTTACTGAAGACATTAAGTTTATAAGTCGCAGAAATTCATGCACAGATTTCCTTAAGGACACATGGCACAGTGGATAAGGCATTGGTTAGATCCAGTGACGGGACCCAAAGAGTTGTGAGTTCAATACCTGGTTAAAGAAGTGGAAAACTTGGAGAGGTGAATTAACAGGAGATAACTGATAACTGACATCCATTAGACATGGCACATAGAACTAGAACAGTCTACCCCAGCGAGAGAAATAAAGGGTTCAGTTTGACATTCCAACCACCTGAAGAAGGCCGGAGCGTACAACGGCTGAAACATTGTGATAAATATGGCAACAAAGATGAGGACAATAGTCCGAATAATGTAAAAAGGAATCCTGTTCATAATATCAATACAGTATTAAATCAATCTGTGACTTTTACAGAATAGACTGGTCCACTCGTAAAGAATAGGGAAAATTTTTCAGGAAATAATTTTTGTAGATTTGTATTCATTAGACCTTCCTCAAACTACAACATTTGTCAGAATAAAAATATACTAATTTCTTATCAATTTAGAAGAGAGGTCTTGTTCATAATATACGTGTCAGATATTAATCCCTAAATGTTATAGTTATTGGACTTCGGTGTTATTTACAAATTTCAAGTTTGAAAATGTGCTTGCATCATTGATATCTGCTTCTTCTTTTTTTTCTTAATTTTCTGAATTTAACTTTTTTTAACCCATTTTTTGGAAAGAGGATTATCTAGAAGCACATGCACAAGCATTGGGTTTGGGAGATAACAATTATTTATCTTAAATGAAGTATAAAGGAATATATACTTTTATTAATTTATGCAGATTTTTGTTCTTTAATTAAAATGTATATATCCATTTGTTTTTATTTGAATTAAATATTTTGATAAAAAAAAAAAAAAGAAAGAAATTTCTTTGTGGTGAACACATGTTAGTATAGATGCAAATGAAACCCAGAATCATATACAGACATGTCTGTTGAAGCTAGTCACATCCAGGTTCTCCCAGTTAGCAGCAGGCCTCTCTGCTAGGTGTCCAGATCTGGGTCTTTATCAACTCTGTCATGTCAATAAAAGGGAAGGGAAAACCAGTCAGCAAAACTATTTTGCTATTGACAGATGTACTCTTGGCTTATTTTATTCCAGAAATTGCATACTGCCAGCCATGTTGTTGTTTCTGAAGCAGTAGCCTCACTAGTCATTACTCAGTTTTATTTTATTTCATCCCATCTCTTTCTCTTCTCTGCCTGTCTCCCCTTAATTGTTAAGAGAACAATCTGATAAGTGTTTCCCCACAACTTCAACACACCTTTGCCTTATTTTAAAATACTCTTTTCATACACAGAATAGCTAAATCCAGATAACTCTGTAAAAGTCAAAGATCAATTGTACACTATATCAATATTATGAACAGGACCCCACCCTCTAAAATGGTAAAAAAAATGAGTATTTTTAAATTCTGACAAATGTGGTATCTTAAAGAACATCAAACAAATGCTAAACTACAAAAACTATTTAGAAAAACATTTTCCCTATTGTCTTTAAAAGTGGACCAGTATATTAAGTAGTGCACAATAGCCATTACATGACATGAACAGACACTCTCCTTTGGGATTTTTCAGTTAGCAATAAAATGCCATCAACACAGTGAATATATATAAAGTTTTGTTTAAAACTGGACATTTATCCATGGAAACTATTTAAGGCTTTTGTTGTAATGTTCTATCACCTATGTGCACTGACTATATCAGTAGCTATATACACTGCGTGCCAAATTATTAGAGATAACTTTTTTTCTAATATTTCAAAAACTGTCCAATCAATTCACACAAAATTTTCACACAATGTTGGCAACACTAACTTGCGGCGCAATCACTGAAATTTTCGTACTGATCTGCACAATGTAAACAAACTGGCGCCATATTTGTTATCAGCACTCTGATTTGAGTGTGCCAAATTATTAGAAAAGTGTAAGAATTTAGTGAAAAGATGAGCCATAAAAGCAGTTTAAGTGATGCTAAAAAGAAAACTATCACCTCAGAACTCTCAAAAGGTAAATCTACCCTAGAAATTTCTAAAATGATAGGGAGGTGTCATCAAACAGTGAAAAAGTTCACCACCGACCCTACACAAGTACGTAAAAGAGCAGATAAAGGTAAGCCAAGTGTTATTTCACGTCGTCTCATGTCATGAATTAAACGAGAGGCCATGAAGAACCCTGGACTTACCAGTCAAGAGCTTTTCAGTCACATGGGGATCCTACTGTGTCTAAAAGTACTCGGTGTCGGCATCTGAGGGAAATAGCAACAACAGTCAAACTTGTATCAAAGCCTCCATTGATGAGAAATCACATTCAAAATCGCTTGAAATGGACCGAGGACAATATGAAGATTGACTTCTCTAAAGTTTTGTTCATTCATTTAAATATATTGGTAGTTAATACAAACTTCTTTTCAAAATAGACAGTAAAAGTGCATGATATAAAATAGAGCTTATAAAAAATATATTACCTCAGCAAGTTTCATCATGAAAACAGGGATCATCAAGTCAGGATATATTTTTAATTTAAATGACACCAGCAACTTGTATATTTATATGATATGGAAACCAATTTTTATTTCTTTTTTAAAAAAAAAAATAAAATCTTGCTGCCATATTAGTTAATAGATATTATTTGGCATGTAACCATTCTGAAAGTATCTCTGATCTTTTATTTAATAATTGGTTGAGGCTTGGGAACAAGATTGTCAGTTTCTCTTGACATGATTTATCTAATCAGCCTTGTCTAAATATGTATGGAAATTTAAAGAGGAGAAAAAATTGAACCCAAACATAAGATGGAAAAATATTTAAAAAGGTAAAACTTATTCAGGAGTGCTACAGACAATGCAACATAAAGTTTAAAAAGATTAAATAAAAACAACTCGCTATCTAGAAGAGGCCAGGTTCACCACTCCATAGTTGGTGGATTCTCCACAAGGTCAAATAGATGAATTCAGAATGACAACCAACAGTAACGAACAACGAATTCCAATATACAAATTAGCAAGATTTAGTTATAACTAGATGAAAACATTTAGGCAAGAGAAGATGTGGAAAAGATGTATGCGTTATATTTTGAGGTTAAGAGTTGAAACAAAAACTTAGCTTCAGTCTTTCTTCTGAAATAAAATAAAGTTTTCTCTTTACCCATTTCTCTCTTATGCTTCTCTCTATCCTTTTTACTTTTAAATCAGTTGTTTCACTTGAGTAGTGGTATCTTTTGATCTATTCTTTTTTCTTCAATGCAGACTTCATTATTTGGTGATGGAGATTCAGCACTATAGAAGTAGTATATTCAGCAATGCAGAACTTATTATTCAGATCCTTCATCCAATTGAATATGTCACCTATGCCTTTATTAGGTGATTGTCACATTTTGCAATTCACATATGCATTTGATGTAAGCAGCATATTGTGTTGCATTGGAATTAGTCTTTTATCGTGTGATCCCTCTTGCTTAACTGTAACAAGTAAAAAGAGATTATTTGCGCAAGATTCATTTCCACTTGATTCTGTGAGTTGGGAACATCATTCATTCTCTTCAGTAATTCCGGTTACACAACAATTTCATAGCTGGTCCAACTTCTTCAAGTTTCGTTACCCAACTGGCTTCTGTCGATCTTTTCCCACTCAACATTCATACTTAGTCACATGGTCTTGCACATGTGTAAGAATCTATTTTTAGTTTCTGCTCAAACCTGTTGGTGCAGTCATCAGTCTGTCTGACCTAATTGTTTTTGAAGTCAGCAACTACTATTACATATCTAAAAAAAAAGAGGATGAGTTCATATGTTATATTATTAAAGAGATAGGAGAGATGGGTTGCTAAGCGATGGGTTGTGAGCTGTTTTAAAGACATAACAGAAGGAACAAAAATTAGTAGATTATCCAAGAGGAACTGGCAGTCTTTTTTCTATTAAATAAAAGGACAGAGATACCCTTTTGGATGTGTACATGCCAGAAAATACTTATTAATGATGCCAGGATGACGTCTACATCCAGGGTTGTTAAAAAAACAAAATGTTGGTTCCAGTTCTTAAATACAAAAGTTGCAGGTGTCAAATATCAAAGATGCCACATATTGAAAGTTCACTAACTGCAAGAGACACCCAACATTGCCACATCTACACAAAAGACTGTGTGCATGCGTGTGTGTGTGTGCATATCTATATACATACTGTTATATTAAGCATATGGTGACAGAACAAAGAAGAAACAACAACAGTTTAAAGAAATAAACGATTATATTAAAATTAAACAACAATTATATTAATGCACAACAAATGGTAAATCTGTGTAAATGTCTCTCATTGAAAAAAGGAGAAAAGTAGAATTGTAAAAGGCATCTGCAGAGGTGTTCGGTAGGATGAGTTATGACTTAATGGGATGATGGCCTTTGGCAACCTGTCTCTTGGAGATGGGAGGTTACTTTCCGACAAAGTCTGTGAACTCAGGCCAAGATGCCATCCAATTGCCAAAAATGTCCCTTTCATGAGTCTTTATGTCCTTTCTTAGGCTCAAATCAGCTCTGGTTTTTATTTTGTTTCTTTAGGCAGGAAAGGGTGCTATTGGCTGGAAATTCTGGATTGTATTGCTTATTTTTTCATTGAGTGTGTGAGTACAGAAATTATGTGTAGAGTCTATGTGCAGTTGACAGAATTTTAGTTCTGTCTTGGGTTTTGGAGAATTCATATCAAGCCAATCGTGGAAATTAGTGTAGCATGAATCAGAAGATCTGGTTTTAGGAAGAAAGTAACATTACATACACATGAAAGGAGCATTGTAAAGTTCTCAACCCAATGTTGCCACATCTGCACAAAAGACTCTGTGTGTGTGTATGTGTATGTGTATATTTATATACATACACACACACACACACGAAAGAAGCATAGTAAAGTTCTCAACCTAAATAAGAAAAGATATTTTAAAATTTTGATCAATGGGTAGTTTTTGAAGAAGTGGGTGAGGATAAGAACTTTTCTGTATCCCCCTCACATTCACACACATTTTTGTATTTACATACAGATATTTATGTATATATGTGTGCACACATAAACACACAAGGTGAGGGATATGTTCTTGACCTAAATATTAGAATAATGATTTTGGGAAGTGAGTCAGGCCAAGAGTTTATCAGCAGTCTCTCATTGATGGAAAATGAGCCGAACAAGAATAGAAAAATGACAAAGCTGCAATTTTTACACTTACCGGCCAATGAAGCACCAGACATCCGAAGAGAGAATCTTGCAGTAGAAATTTGGGTGAAGCAAGTTCTTTAACAGCACATTTTCCTTAAAAAGTAACATCAAAATATTCATAGAAAAGAAAATTAGAAAATTAATTCACAGAAAAAAATCATATGAGAGAAAATTTAACAAGTTCAATGAAGTCTACAAACTAGCTTAAAACCCACTCTACAAGCAGATGGTTGAAATGAAACATTTCATTCCAATAAAAAATCATAAATTTAAATTATGTATTTATTAAATTATCACCAACATGAATTGTATTTAATTTAATTATCTGTGGGGATTTCACAAAACATTTCAAGTACCCACATATTGTTTTGAAATATAACTTTTGCTGGGTTTTTATTTCAGCAGTAAACAGGCATAATACTGAACTATGATTCTGTGAAAACTTATAGGTTAATAAATGCCACTGACACATTAACTTTTATAGTCATGGTGGCAATTGCTCATATGATAAATGTAAACACAGGATTATTTTTTTAAATCTTCATTTTCCAGTGACTAGAAAAAACTGATGGGCATGGTTCATAATTTTAGCTTCTGGCAAGGAATTGGGAGGGGGGGTCTAGACGTTCACTTTATACAGTTAAACAAAAAGATAAACATTCAGTTTACCTAACTTGACAGACACAATGAATGAAGTTTAGTATTATATATACATTATAGATTAAATCCCTTGCCAAAATCTTTAAAAGTTTTGAAATTTTCAAAAACTGATATGCTAAAAATGATGCTCCAGGGTTATTAGTAAAAATATAAAATTTTTGGGTCATAGCACCATGGCAGACATAATGAGCCAGAGCCAGAAATGACAGAAATGGTGAACAGGATTTGCCTTATTCTCAATGAAAAAGAGTTTGTCTGGCAGTAGGACTTCAATTTGAGAGAAGATGAGTACATTGTTCCATCAAAAGAGATCTTTCTTCTTTGTTGTCCCACAAGAAATTGGTTCATTAGCAACTGTGTATAATATTAGCATGGTTGGATGGAATCAAGGAGGAATATCTGGGTGTGTTAGTGCTCCATTCTGAGGTGCCCGTATGTCTATCAACTGGGTATGTGGTTGGTGATTCCCCATTATAAGTAGATCATTGTGAAGATGAGAGGGGTCTTCTGTCAGGGTACATCATACTATATGTACAGCTGTAATAGAAGGAACAAACAACGAAAATTATGTCCCAAAACAGAGTGGCTAACTTCTTTTGACCACAAGTTCTAATGATCCGTGGGTTATGTGATGAGAGACGTTCAAAAAACTATTTGGGGAATCGTAAAATCAATTTTAGGTGCTTTAACTTAACGTATCATAATTAAGTGTCATCTACCTATAAACATGTGCTAGCATGTTATATGTAAAAAAAAATAGATACATAACCCAACTTAATCAATGCTAAATCTCTTGTAGAAATACACATATTTCCAGGCTATAAACTAAATCTATTGTATTCTTACAGTACAGTACATAAAAATGTTCAAGACCTTTACAGGAAAAATTTATTCTGATTTTTAACAAAGTTCTAAAATCTTATAAAACAACACACAAATTTAAGGAATAAAACCAAAAATAGTTCCACAAAAATCATTTGAACACGTTTGTCCTATCTAAAAAATACATTTCATTTTTAAAGTAAAGCAATTTTAATTAGCAAAGTATGGCCTAAGCTAATTTATAATAAACTATTCCACCTTCAAATAAATCAAGCAAATGAAATTGTTTCTAGCTCAGTCTATGTACATGTTTAGAGCATAATTAACAAAGGATCACAAGTAAAAAGATGTGAGGTGATCAATTTTTTAGGTCAAAGAATAAAAAATTAAAATAGATGAATAATTCACTTTAGAAAAAGTCAGTATAATCATTTAGAATTTCACATGAAATGATGTTCTCCAGAGAATAGAAACAATTATAAACAATTTGCTTATGGTTGATTATCTTACCATATTTATTTATATTTCATATAAAGATCTGCATGTCTTGAAATAGTTAAGGTATTACAAAATAATTATTTTCTTATAAGACCCCTGCCCTCAAATTGAACTAAAATATACATAATAAAGGTACACAAAAGCAAGACACCAGTGATGTGCCCTGGTTTCAATGTGAGTTTCAAGTTTTACACATCATGATCACTCCACCAGTAGCCCGACCTACTTCTGAAGATAACAGGTCCTCACCTCAATCACAATACTACAGAAAGGTATGCTCAATGTGACATTTATTTGAACAGTTGTGCAATACTGCACCATTCAATTAAATCACTTAATTTTGCTCACTTATTATTTGGCCCATACCCATCTAAACTGTTGTACCCTCTGGAGTTTGAATAAATCAGTGTACAATCATAATTCCTTATCTAGGAAATTCAGATAGTAATGATACTTTTAGGAATAAAAAGTATTGAATCAATTGCTAGGTCTGCTGCTAGGAAAGTTGGTTAACAGCATTGTTCCAGACAATTCTTCTTGTCAGAATACTTCTTGCATGTTTATAAATCTTGATTAATGCTACCATATTTGGCCTGGAGCCTTTCCTATATATCTTGAGATCCTTGACAAAATCCAAAGAAGGGTCTGTTATGTTATCAGTCCTGACTTGGCATCTCAGCTTCAGTCACTTTCCTGCAACCATGACATGGCTTCCTTGTGTCTTTTCTATAAATATTTGTATGGTAATTGTTCTTTCATCCCTGGCACCACAAGAGCATGAATTTAAGTGTACTACTAGATTGGCAATTAGGTCCATTGTTTTACTGTTGACATAGCTAAATGTAATCGTAAGTTCTATTCTAATAGTTCCTTCTCTTGTACTTCTTGCCTGTTGAGCTCTCTTCCAGTTTCTTGCTTCCCTGCCACCTACGATCTTCAAAAATTTAAATGCAATGTCAAGTGCTATCATCTGTCTTTCTGGAATCTTTTCTTTTATTTTCCTTTCTCCTCACTGGCTTCTCATTTTCTTTCATCCTCAATAAACCCTTGTATCCTAGTGGCATTATCACCTAGCTTAGTGCAAAACAATTAAAAAAAGAAAAAATTTGGGCTGCTAAGAAATTGTGCAATTTAATAAACATAGTATTTTATGAACATTTGAATGAGTATATCAATTTGAAATACATACATTATTATATAAGCATTTATCAGTTAACTTACAACAATTTTGAAGTGTCTTGCAGGCCAGCTACCAACGAGACCACAAATGTTAGTACAAAAGAATTCATACAAACTTCTTTTCCTACAATAAAGAAAGCACAAAGTATTTTAAAATAGTGCATGAACAAAACCCTTTCTGAATAACAAATCCAAAATATAAATATGTATTATCTAATTATGAACCTAATATATAAAAAATAATTTGTATACAACTATTTTCCTTCTCTGAATTATAAACAAGATTCAATTATCAAAGGTTGGTGAAAATAAAGAAGAGAAAGAGATTGAAGATGATGAGTTGACATTAAAATCAATTTAAGATTATTTGTACATGAAAAATAAAGACAGTGAAAAAAATACTCTTCCGGCTATTGATAATGGGTACATATGGAAATCCTATCACAATAGTAAAATATTTGTTTTTAACAAATTATCTTCAATGGTCCTTGCTTTTGCAGCAGAAAATATTCTGTTTTATAAACAGTGATTTTGATAGAAGCTCAAAGAAAAGAGCAGTTTAGTAACACATTGTTCAAATCTTAAGCATGAATGGTTAATGACAAAATGATTCTCAAAGGAGAGGAATTTCAAATCTAAAAAGAATTTTAACCAGGTGAGAAATTACAATTGTGTGTGTGTGTGTGTATATATATATATATATATATATATATATATATATATAGATAGAGAGAGAGAGAATGAATCCCTGTTACAGAGGCTTGCTCAAGGACAGTTGTGTTTGTTCCACACACAAACAGCCCACGTGTGGTTTATACTGCAATTACACTGAGTGAACCTTAGTTACAGTTTCTAGGAAAGAGAGAGAGAGAGAGAGAGAGAGCATCATCTGGCATGGTCAACAGTTTGATCAAGGCCAGTACACTCAAACTCTTGGTCACAATAACTTGTGACTTTGTGCTAGCACAAGCATTGATGACCTACAAACAATTCCATCTAACCAATCTAACCAAGGCTTGGGTGAACCTGCAGTATAGTTTTCAGATACTTTCCAAAGATGCCATATACTGGGATCTCTATGGTGAGATTTAAATCCAGATCTCATGGTCAGAAAGTGAATATTCTAATTACTCAGTCATGTGCCCATATAAATGTGTGTGTGTGTGTGTGTGTATGTATATGAAAGCATAACAATTATTAGGAAAAGTTCTCAGCCTAACCCATTTCCCAAAATTTGAAAAAAATGGCCAATTGGAAGGGTTTCTTAGTGGGGCCACAACCTTTTCAGAAATCTCTTAAATCTATTGGGGGTTAATTCAAAATAGAAGAGGAACTGAAGAAACCTGGGATTGTAAGGGAAGGAATGTGACTTGGGACTTTGAGAACCATCTACAAGGCAAAATTCTAGTTGATTTAAATTAATTATGCAATAAAAATGTTTTCATTAAAATGAAAACAATCAAAAATGCCATTTAAGCCAAAAGCAGCTACATGCCAACAAAATTACCAAATTTGAATAATTACAAAAACATGCATTGGTGATTATTTTTTTGTCATCAATGTATTCAAACAAGCAACTTCATGAAAGCTTGTTTGCAGCCAAAAGATAAAGGCTATAAAAACAAATGTCTAAAATTTCATGACATTTGCCTCAGATAATTGAAAATAAAATTTATATAATGTGAGCCATCAAAATATACATCAGATGTTGGTTCCAGTAATTTCATATAAAAAAAAATTTGCAAATTCAAGTCTATATATATATATATATTGTTTAAAGATGGCTATATTTATGGAAGAAAATTGCTAAGTATTGACTTTAGAGTATTTGTAGATATAGACAGTGTGGATATGGGGTTCAATACTGCTTGGTGACTGTCAATTTAATCATGTATCATAATTCCTTTAGTGGGCTCTATATATAGGCCACTAGGAGAATTAAGGAAAGTAGGAATAAGTTCTTCTTCCCAGTTCTTTTATTTAGGGTTAATGCTTTAAATTATTTAGTCATGGCATTTATTATTTTATTTATATATTTCATTTATTTATTTGTTTTGTATATTTTCTTTGGTTCAAAATTTTGGTGTTTCAGATAAAGTTTATTTGATTTACATTATGGGATTTTATTTTGTTATTTGAATCATGAGATGGTTGTAGGTAGCATAGTAGGAATTTGTTTTCATAAATAAATAAGTAAAGGTCATGACTATAAGTAACCTAAAGAATTAGTCTTAAACAAATCTATTAGTATTTCATCAGACTGGTCTTTGTTAACGTTGCCACATCTACACATGCACATGGGAGATGCAGGTAGTTTCAAAAATTTTGAAAAGATTATTATTTTTTTTTTCAATCTAGGCAAATTTATCTGTATTCTTTTTCTTTTTCTCCCCATCACCTTTGTCCCTGACTATCTCACAGTGTGACAATATAAAATCTACCAATAATGGTGATATATTGTAAATGTCTAAAATATAAAATACTGTTAATATATAAAATTATACAAAAATATATATCATTATATCATATACATATGTGTATATATAAAATGTAAAATATCAACATTACACACACACACATATATACATATATATATATATATATATATATATATATATATAAAATGTAAAATATCACACACACACACACACATATATATATATATATATATATATAAAATGTAAAATATCAACACACACACACACACACACACACATATATATATATATATATATATATATATATATATATATATATATATATATATATATTCACCAAAATAGGTTGCAGGTAAAATCTTACTTTTCTGGGTTCCCTGGAGCAGCAGGCATGGTCACTTTTATATCCAATGAAAGTTCAACATAACCTGTCAATTTCCAATTAAAAAGATTTTGATTATACAGAGTGTCCCAAAAATATACTCACTTTTTGACTTTCTATGTCTTGAATTTTTTTTCTTTTTTTTTCAGATCCATACATTTAATTTCATTTAATATTGTTATACTTTGTTGCAATTAGATCTCTTTCTGATTCATTCTGCTTGCTGGCTGGATGTGAATGCCATGAAAGCAGAGAATGAAATAAAAAAAAGTTGTTTTCTGCACATAGGCTCCACACATTATGTCCAATCTATGAAGCAAGCTCTGGTAATGAAAGTGACACAGACCAAACATGAATGATCCCGCTGGAAAAGGAGATGTCCCTGGAGAGTCAAAAAACAGGTCTCTGATGACAATCGACAGTTAGGAACCAGCGAGCCACTGGCTGTCATGCAGGTTGCTACTGCTACTGCCACTGCCTCTCAACATGACAACATCTTAACCTTGTCCCCTCAGCAACCCACCAATCTCACCTTGGCATACCTGACTTGTTTACAAGGCAATCCCTTCGTAGTCGCCACTGCAGCCATGTTCCACAAAATAGGCCTACCAACCACACCAATTTGATGTCACCTCAGCGTACCTGACTCATTACAAGGCATTCCCTTCACAGTCACCACTGCAGCCCTGTTCCATAGAACAGGCCTACCAACCAATGAAATCAACCCACCACCAATATGAAGCATTCCCTTGCAATCGTCACTGCAGCCATGTTTCATAAAACAGGCCTACCAACCAACAAAACCAACCCACCCCCATGACTTTGATCAACTAACAAGTGCACCAATCTGTAACATTGGCCAGGCCAGTACAAAAATATAGGTCAACTTCCAGTGATTCTCTTAACCCTGATTCCCATCCTGACAATAGGCATTTGAAATTGATATTCCACCTATAGTTTCGACATATCATGTACAACACACTAAATAAACAGTGTTCAAAATCTAATCCTTGTTATTCCTTTCTCTTGCAACCAAACACTTATTATAACAATATTTAATTTAAACTATTAATCTTCTTTGTAAGTCAATAAACATTAAGTAAAATTAGTGGGCATTGATAAGAAAAACTGAAATATTGTCTATGTATACCAGGTTCAGATACAGTCAACACTAAAATAAAACTGATTGTTCCATTTCTTATTTTTATTTTTTTATTTATTATCTGTAAATTACCATAGATGCTTGAGAAAGACCACGGAGTCATTTCCTTCACCATAGTTTGGGATTCAGTTTTTCTTCTCAGACTGGTTGCTACCCAAGACTAGAAAGCCCTCTTCTATTTAACACAGAGGGAAGAAGAGATATATTAATGCTTTTGTGCAAAAGTGAATGCAACAGACTAGTCCAGAATGTGAACTTGAGCTGATTGATTCCACTTTGTGCCAATATGTATTATACTACCTGCACATCCAACTTTGATATTAATATGCAATACATAAAAAATGAGCTAAGTAGTAGAGTAACAGTAAAGTCAGTGAATGGTGATAAGAAAAACTTTGTCTATGTATATAAGATTAAAACGCAATTAACAATAAAACTGTGATTGTTCCAATTTTCTCTAATTATATTTTATTTTTTTTAAATGTCACGTCCTTTCAGGGTGTAGGTGATCATGGCTTTTCACAGATGTCTTTTCTTTATCATCTGCGAATTGCCATGCATTCTTGAAAAAGATAGTAGTGGTTTCTCATTGCCTTTGCCACAGTTTGAAACAGTTTTCTTTCTCTTAAACTGGTTACCACCCAAGTCTAGAGATCACATTCTATCCTGTTGTTTAACCCACAGCTGGGAGTAGGGAGAAAAAACAGATTCCCAAGGCCATCTGTGTGAAAGTGAATGCAACAGACCAGACCAGAATTTGAACACTTCTCTAATTGCTGTTGTTATACATTAAATCATTAGAGTGAATAAAACTCTTTATGTATTTCTTTAATAAATCCTAATCAGTAACATGGTGATGTTTGGTGATGCCCAGGGCCAACTCCTTGATTGTATGCCCCCCCACCAAGACTCTAGTATTGAGAAATGTGAAAAAGGAAAACATTTTATATATGTAAAAATAGATGAAATATGAAATGAACACTTTATTCAAATTAAATATAAACTAAATTTTTATTTCACTCTTTGACTGGATTCCCTCCCAATACAGATGCTCAGAGCCATCGCACCCTCTGCCCCCCACCTCTTTACAAGCTACTGATCCTACCCATATCATAGGTTGCATGAATTTACAGGTTTATCAATTAATGGAAAAAAAATAATATATTTACATACAATAGATATTTTTCAACATGATCTCCTTCTTCTTCAATCCAATGAACTTAATATTATTGCAGTAATCACATAGATCAAATATTCAGAGCAAAATTCAGCTGTTAGTCTACAGACTTATTGATCCACCTACATAAATTTAACATTTAATTCAAACTAAAAATTTTGTACTTGAAACAGAATAAGTGAATTTACACACTAGCAAAAAGTCATTGTTTGAAATCATTCTCTGTTTAAACTATTCTAATTTTTACATCACTGAAATGAGATCTCGACCCAACCTCTCAATCATTTAGCATTAAAAAATTCAGCATAACCTGCCAATTTCCAATTCATTTGCATGCATAGCTTAAATTATAGAAAATCAAATAGCTTATAGACTTAATTATCATAGACATTCTCTAAAAGAATCTATGTAGGAGAAGTAAATAATGTTAGTTTCAACAATATATTTAAAATTTTAAAGGAAGTAGTTTATTTGATATGTACATTGTATGGAATATATTGAAGTCAATGTCAAATTAAGTATTTAATAATGAAAATAACGACACAAAAATATTATGCAAATACAATCAACCAGTAATAATAATGTCTATGTTTCAATTAATACTTACATTTTTCCAAAGATGAAAAGATGCTGGCTAAAATGTTCTGATGAGGAGGATCTTCTGGATAGACAGTTGGAGAAAACCAATCATTTTGAACCTCAGCTGAAAAAGTATTAGGGAATTTATTTTATTAATTTTATCACATAAGGCAATTTTTAATGAAAAGATTATTAGAACACTTCAACTGTTGACAGATTATAAGAGGACTTAAAATTCTTAAAGAACAATAAGCTCCTGACTAACAATTTTACTTAATATGATTTTTGATTTTGGCACCTACCTTAGTACAATTCTCACTGGGTGCTCTGCTACAAGTTTTGTGCCAGACTTAGCTATATAGTAAATAACCAAGTTTGTTTCAATATACAGACAATTACTATTAAAGTGAGTTTAGTCCTTACCAGACACTCCACACTTGTCATCATGTGCCAGGCTAAGCTAAACATATTAAATGTCTAAGTTTATTTCATTTGTAGCAACAGTTAACATGTTAGTCTTGCACATCATTAAAACTGAGTTCAGCCCTCAGTGGATGCTGCATACTTATGGCCTTGTACCAGACTAAACTAAGCTTAATATCAATATAGTTCTTGGTCTGGTACAGCTTGTGTTGTTTATTAAATATGTATAAAATTTCCCATTACACTTTTTATGAAAACCAGAGATTGAAAACTGGGTCTTCATTAACTTTTGTACACACCTAATAAAAAGAAACAATTTCTTGAAAAGTTTGAATTTGACAGAAAAAATAAAATAATCAATTTTATATAAAATCTAAATAACATAAGCAACTATTACATCAGACATCTTGTCTGGTGTTTTATGGTTAGTCTCAAGTTTAACATTTTTTTATTTATTTTCTTCCTCATTGGTAAATGTTTATAGCATCTGTATTCTTCCTGACTAAATAATTTAATTACTTCAACTCATGGTGAAAATATAAATTGGTTATGTGGGGAAATAACATATTTATTTAATTCATTCTCACAGGTGAAGACACTTTGATGATACTTCTATGTCTTTTCATTTCCTTTCATTCCTTAAAGTAAAACAAGATTTTAAGCTTTTAATTACAATATATTACAAAAACACCTAATGATTTCAAGTGTATTTCATGTCTGGAAGTATTGGAATATAACCAAAATGACATTATTTTGAAACAGAGCCCGTCACATAATCAGCGAGAAGCTCCACCTACAGTTGGAATACATACTAATAAACAAAACAGTAATGTGATAATACGGTATTTTCATGTGAGCCTCATTATAATAGCTTATAATATATCATTAGAAAGCTTATTACAATTTGCATCTAATCATTATGCAAGGCTTATAATATATAATTTTGAAAGCTTTTTATACTGAGATAGACCTATGGCAATTTCATAGGTGCTGACAATTTTGACTATCTATTAACTAATGACTCTTTTTCTTTCACTTTTTACTCATATATTTTACTTTCTTTTATTCCTTCCAATCTTTGTTCCCCTTTATTTTTTTTATATAAACATGAAATTAGTTTCATTTGTACAAGAATAAGGAATGAACAAATATTTCAACTGTATCCTCTCTTATTTTTCTTTTGTTCTATCTCACCATAAAGAATTTTAAATTGCACCTTTTTTACACCTTTCCATTCCTACGTAAATCTATAACATTCTTTCATTTCCATCCCTTTCTCCCGTATATATTTTCTTTTCACTTTTTTTTCCTCTGGCTTTCTTACTCTTACCTTTCCTCCTTCACACCCTTTATTTTTCTCTCCTCTCTTACTTTTCTCAAATCCTTCCCATTTAATATCATTACATCAGAAATCATAACTGATACCATTTCAGAAAAGCTGAGATTCTACACTCAAATACCTTTTTTAATCTTTGCTAATTTTAAAAAGAAATCACATATTTTTACTACCACGATTCCTTCAGCTAGTTAATTTTTGTACCATTATGAAAGAAATTCAATTTAATTTTAAACACTTCTAGGACTTGAATATTGATAGTATTTGATATATATATATATATATATCATTTAATCATAATTTTTAACCCTTGAATCAGTACTCCAAACTTTAAAAATTAAATATCTTTTTTAGGACTAACAGAGTTAAACAAATAAAAAAAAACTGCTTCTTATCTTACCAGGAGCTTTAGGAATAAACTTCATAGCTACAACTTGTAGTAATGCTTTAGCCAACACCAGGCTTGGATCTAACTCTGTTCAAACAAAAATATAAAAAGTTTAAAGTCAAATTTTGAGAATAATCTTTACTATTTTAAAGTTTTCATTTGACTTTTTAAAAATTTCCCTAATTTTCTCCAATGAACTCAAATTCATTTTTATAGAAATTACAAAAATTACAAAATGTTAAAATAAAACCTCCAGAAACAAAAATAAAAGTTAAATCTTTGACTTTTTCTTTTTCTAATTTTTCATTATCCTTTGTAAGGAAAACAAACCATTTCTTTTTCTCTTAAAAGCATTTTTAATTCATTTTTCTGTGAAAGATTTTCACAGCATACATCTTGAAATGTTTTTCCCCCAAATCCAAGTCCTGAAAATCAACAGTCCCTAAATATCATACAAAAACGTTAAAAATGCTAAAATTTAATAACATGAGTGTCTGTTAAATGTATCATGGACAAACAAGGGTACCCTAAAAAGAACAAGTTTGAATCTATAACTATTCAATTAAAGAAATAACTCCATGAAGTTGATTCATTGAGTGATTTATTACTTTTTAGGGTTTATCAACCCGTTATGGGTTATTCAAAACTGAAACAAACTTTGGATTGTAAGAAAAATTCTTTTTTTTTTGTGAGTGAATATCACATTAACAATTTTTCAAGAATAACAATGATTTTCCCAGAGACAGATCCTATTTAACCGATTGCTGCGGCAAGTGAAGGATTCATATCTTGTCCAAAGGTATTTATTTGTGTGCAAGTGTCTTCAATGATGCTGACTGGAATTCAAAATCAGATATCCGATTTTTCATTCCAAGCCACTATTATACCACCCACACATCCAACAACTCCATGAAGTGAAATTTTTAAAAATATACTTATGTCTTATCATAAAATGAGACTGAATATCTTACCATAGAACAATCGTTAGCAATTTTGTCTCATAAAGCACTATGTAATGAGTTTGCTTCTCACTGGGTACTCGATACATGTGGCCTTGTATAGCTTTAAATTAAGCATAGTAAAAACTAAGAGAGACACTGTTTTTATTAATGATATTATACATATGTGCATCTGCATATAAATACAGTTTTGATTAAAGACAATAAACAAAGACTCTGTTATGATGTATAATACATAAATGGAAAATGTCAAAGCTTAAATGCATTAAAAAATTGAAAAACAACATTCAGTTTTTTTCTTGATCTTAATAATGGCCAAAGTATGGTTGAAAGCACAAGATCACAAACACCTGAACATTGTGTACTGGATCATTAAACAAGTTAACAAAAAAAGGACTGCTGCCTAGATGCATGTATGCACACATACCAAGTCACACTTACTGGGTGGTATTTTGCTGCAAAATCTTAAGATCTATACCTACTATGACAGCAGCTGTCATTGGTAAGCTTTTAAAATAAATGAAATTCTGTACCTCTCAGAAAATGAGTTTCAGTAAGTTAGTAATGAGATTTAAAGTTGAAATGATGAATAGAACATAAATTTCATTTATTCATCATTTCAACTTTGAATCTCATTACTAACTTACTGATTTTTTTCTTTCTTTATTTGCAATATACAAAGAATAAACTTCAGATACTGAAAACTTACCTGTATCAGCAGTAAGGAGGTGCCTAAAATAACGATTACTAATTAGACTATTGACCAATGGATGAGTGGCATTTAACACTTGAAGATGGATGTCTTGTTGGCTCTGATGGGTCAATAAAGGAACATTTAAGGAAGGTGGAGCTAAACTATTTAAAAAATAAAGAAAAGATAGTTAGATTAAAAAGAATAATAATTGCAAACAACTGCAGTATGATTTTAAGACAAGATTCATATTACTAGGCCTTGGTCTATTGACCCAGAAGATGTAACTTCTCTAAAGCATGTAATAAATAACCACATTTTTATCAGTAACACTTGCATCAATTCATGACCACTCACAATCTCTTTCTTCTTGATTCACAATGCATAACTTTAAAGATAAGGTGCTAAACCTGTGAAACAAATTTTAAACAAAAAATTGCAAAATTCAGTCTTTAAACATCAAATTTCTTCACTACCACTAAACCTATTTAGTTTAAGTATAAATGGTTAAAGGTTATTAAAGAAGTAGTAGGGTAGCAGTAAAGTCTGTGGACACAACAATAAAATAAATGGATTCTGGTTTCCTAGTTTAACATAAACTTATTACTTTGCTTTAACTAATTCACTTTCTGTGTCTATTATAATATATTCAGCAAGTTCTAACCTGTTTGAATCCTAGTCACAACATCAATTGTAGTGTGTGTGTATATATATATATATATAGGCTTTGATAAAAACATACCAATACAATACAGGTTTGTGCAATAGCCAGTGATCTTCCCATTTTGTAGAATGATGAAATGTGTCCTGATTGTGAAGGCTGCATTTTGGGAGACATGAACACATTTTTCTACAGTGACGAACCCATGAAAAAGAAGCCAATGTTTGGAGAAAAATAAGAGGAAAAATGGTTTTTGGTATTCCTTTTAATAAACTCCCACAAGCAATTCTCATTGGTTCCGCAATAGCCTATGTAATAGCTATTTTTGGACACAGAAATAACTATGACATGCAGATTTTAATTTCTGCTAAACTCTACAGATCCAATCTTTTTACTGAATATGAGAGGCATGTCTTCTTATTCCACCATCTATTCTTTGGTTAAGCTACATTGTTGAATATGTTACACCACTGTCTCTTTCTATTACCCTATTTGCCTTCATACATCAATAAGTCTGTAGCATAACAGTTAAAAAAACATTTATCATTCAACATAATCTTCCTTGTCAGTGCTTTTCCATTAATATCAAACATTATACAGTGAAAATTTCAGATCAAAATTCAGCTAGCTATACTAGGCTACAAACTTATTGGTTAACCCTCATATATTCAAGACAACCTTAAATCAAAAAGGCTTCCTACAAACCTGAAACCATTTATTAATTCTTCACTTATATTAGAGCTATAATACACCCCTAACAAAATAATTATTTAAATAAGTAATGAAGCAATATATTTATCTCACACAATGAGTGTTCCCTCTAAACTAACAAAATCATGCATAACTTTTTTCTTTTCTTTTTTTTTAAACAATTCACTCCAAGCAAGGTGATAATGCCACAAAGACGCAAATGGCTACTGGGAGTGAAAGAGAATGAAAACTTTAAAAGGAACCAGAAACCCGATCCTAAACAGGAAACAAGGGATAAACTTCTAAACCTGTTCTGGGGAGGAGTGTGAACCAGATGATAGGTGAATTTATCTACTACTATTTACTTATCATACATAGAGAGAAAATGGTGGTCATCAACCCTTGTAGAATAAAATCAAAATAGAGAACAAAACTAGATAAAAAAAGAATCAGTGCAAATGTTAAGCTTTGACAAACTCCTCAGTAGACCTAACATAGAATGAATACCATCTGGGAACTTGTGATTAAGAAAGAAAGGACACTCAAATATTCTACCACCGAAGTAGAGACATGAGGTTTAAGGCTACAAAATTATATCATTGTATCATCCAAAAGACACATAACCTAATTGTTATAGTGTTGGTGAAAACATTTAGCTTTCTAGTCATTAGTGCCAAATAGTCATGTATTTTGGTTCAGTGGAAGAAATGGACAAGCAACACAAAGGTAAATAGACCAGATAGAATTAACTAAGATGAGATATCCTCTAAGCATGAGAAGGGGAATAAAAACAATACTCCTCAGTAGATTGAATAAAGTTCGAGAATAAAAGATTGAATAAAATTCCAAGAAAAGTTACTAAAGAAGGCTAGAGGTTACAGACCTGAAATGTCGTAAATATAATAACCAAGATGAGTCTACAAAGTTGAATGGAAAGGCATATAATATTCATAATTCCTCATTAAAAAAATGTTGACATAAATTAAGAAAAATTTATTTTGAAATCTGACAAATAAAAAAAAATGAATGTTTTGTTAGTCAATACCCGTTAATATTAAAAATTTAAAAAAAATATCTCGGTTTGTCAGATTTGAATTCTCTGATCTTTCCTCAATAATATCATGTTAAATGATTGAATCACAAAGTTTTACCTTTGCAGATGCAATAAAAGATTTAACACACACTGGCCGCAGTCACCCAGGTAAGCATCATACTCCTTCACTAAAGAAACCAGTATTTTCATTTGAAAACCACAGATTTTTACTGACTTCTGGAATGATTTCTCATTTGTTTGTGGAGAAGGTAATTCCTAGAAGAGATGATAAAAATATAGATGAATAAAGAAAATGAAAGACAAAAAAAAAGAAACAATCCATAAGTTTTTATTTGTGCCACTCACTGCATTTAACCACCAACAACAGTTTTTGGTCCCTTGCTTTTTTTTTTTTTTAGTCTTAAGTCATTACAAAAGCTATCAGTTGAGAAGTGTGGTCTCTAATGTCTAAGAAATGAAAATGAATTCCAAGCCAGAATTATTCATTTCTATGATGAATTCTAGCTTGTTCTGTTCTGAAATGGTAAACATCTACCACCACACAGTGATCGTTTCTAACAAGAAAGTCAAACAAACATTTAATTTGGGTATCGTTGGGGGTTGAAATAGATCAGTTGACAACCCTCACTCATGAGACATAATATTTTTACAACTTTTGATTTTTAAGTAATTCAAAGCAAAGTAGTATTTAAGACGAATAAACAACTTATACACCATCCAGTTTGAGATGTATATGAAGCTATCCCCAAAAATTAAAAAAACTAAAGGTGTGAAATTAAAAAATTAATAGAAAATTAATTCCTTTATTTCCTGGTGGGGGTGATTTTCAAGAAATGTGTGAAATGCTCGGTGAAACTTAAGAGACACTAGCTAACCTGACAGATGAACAAAATGATCAATTTCTTCAAATTCCGTAAATTTATGGGTAGGCTTACCTTCCCTTCATTGTCTTCAGTGGACATCCGTGGTGCCAATGTCAGCAGATTCATGTAACCAGACCGAATATCAGAACACAAATACTGAATCATTTCTTCAAGATTGAGTCGGGAATAAAGATTACTTTTGTACTGGATGGCCAACCTGTTTTCAAGAGAAAACCATAACATCAAATGAAAACTGAATAAAATTGATTTGAAATTAATACATCATCTTTTACAAACCAATCAATTTACACATAGGTTTTGCATCAATTGCATTTACTGATATTATTATGTTTATATGAAAGTTTCTTGTGTTGGTTAGCCTTAATTTTATTTCAAACAGATGTAAAAATAAAACACTGACATAGTTCTTAAGAGCATTTTGTTAAATACACACTGTATGCCAGATGTGCACGTTTGAGAAGAAGATAATACTTTATCATCTGTGTAAAGACAGAAGTAAAGATTCCTGTCTACATTTTTTATTCGATTTTACTAGGTACCACTACTAGTTTGAAAAAAAAAAAAAATAAAAATAAGTGATGATTTACATTCTCCAAGGAGTCCTGTTTTAACTAATAAAACAAAATTTCTAGGATAAATTTAGCTTCTAGAAATTTCCTGAAATTAAGTGGAGTAAAAAAAAATATTTTTACTAAAATTTCAAAAATAATTACATTCATTTGTGAATCAATCCTGAGAGTTTCATTAAAATCCAACAATTATTTGATTTTTCAAAAGAATTTCCAAATCAATGTGTTTTCACTTGAAAAAAAAAAGGCACTAAAACACTAATTGTAAATATTGCGTAAAAAAAACCCCCAAAAAACAAGGTTTTAACCAAAATTTCAAATGTGGTAGAAATTATTCAAAAATTTAATAAAATAATAAAAAAAATACTTTGGTCTTTCCTCTTAATAATAACAAACATTTTGATGATAAAACTTTGTTTTTATTAAACTTGGGAAAACCACTAGTCCTTTTTAAGTTAGAATCAAAGAACATAAAACCATAGAAAGTCATGCCACAGAAAACAGAGAAGGGCATGTATTATGCTCTCTGGAAAGGGTGTTGGATCATTAACAAGGAGCTATGCCGAAGAACTGAAAAGCTCAAAGAAATGACACATATTGGCTTGCCAGCTAGTACCTAACTCAAACTATTATAGAATTCAGTACCACACAATTTTATTTACTTAGCAAAAGTTTTGTGAACTCCTATGTAGAGCTTGAATTATCTGGATATAAGAGTAGCAGCATGGCATTGGTTGTGTATTTAATGTGGCTGAAATGAGACAATTCATGTTATGCGTATTGTGCACACGCACACAGACGGGTGCATATGTGTGAACACGACATTGGTTCTTGATAATTACTGCAAAAGTCGAAAGTACTTGAAAATAACAAAATATGAATTTTGGACAGTTTATCCACAACACCTTATCCAAAAATTGGAAAAATATAACAAAAAATTAAACAGACTGTATTGGTTCTTTTTAATCAAACTTGTTTGTATGTATATATGCATTAGCAACTGCTTTTCTGTTGTTTCTAAAAAAAATATAGTATTTTCTTTTTTTTTTCTGGACTGTAAATTTAATGAAGACAGAATCAGCCAAAATATGTTGACAATGCCAAGAAAACAAAAGAGCTAAATTGTCCAAGCAAAATTTGGAATGTTTCTGATGCTTCACAAAATCAGAGACAATGTGTTTGTGACATGTTGGCATTATGACAGAGAATGATGATCCTTTTAGACAGTGTTACTTACTTGGACAGAGATTTCCATAAACTGACCATTATCTTTATGTCCAGTGCAGGTACCAATTGGCATAAGTTGAACAGGCCATGACAAACTGTAAACATAATTAAAAATGTGTTTCATATATAGAGATTTTTTTTTTAATATCTGATGTACATACTTTGACAATTTTGTTGAAAATCAAGATTCAGATCAAAGGAGAGAGAATTGTTACTAGAAAGTTACTTTGTACTTTTCAGAAATCAGAGTTCCTTAATCTTTAGAATAAAAACAAATTAATTTCTCTAGAAAAAGAATAAAATTTTACTGTTATGCTACTCACTTGTACAAAGGTTTGTCACATCTTGTTCAGTTGATTTGACATTCAGTTTGTCCAAACAATTCAGCAATGACTAATAAAAAATTACATAAAAAATGATTTTTTTAAAAATGACAGTTATTAATTTATTGTTTTCTTCAAGTTACTATTTCTTTTTCTCACATTCACTCTCAATGGCCCCTTGTGACTCAATATTTTTATTGCCTTGCTTGAGATGAAACGATTAAAAAAATTTCCACTAATTTTTAATCTGTTGCAATAAAGTAAGAACACGGATGACTTATAAAATGTCAAATTTATTAAGATAATTTTTATATTTTCTTTTGAGTTGTGTTAATATTTTTACCATCTTTTTTTTAATTTTATTACTTATTAATATTTTTATAATAAAATAATTAATGAACCCAATACCTATCCATGCAAAAATAACTTGTTTAGTTCATGTTAAAGTTGACCTTTATCTTTCAATACAGCTATGGGATATAGAACCCAATATTTGGACTTTCAAATTATTATTCAACTTTTTAGCTTATAATTTGCAAATACTTATTTTTATTACCCTGTGCACAATTATATTGGTATTACATTGATTAGGTAATATAAAAACTATATTTTATTATGTAAATATAATGTTCTTTTTTATTTTCAGTATTAACTTTAATAAACATATTTACTGTTTTGTTCCACTATCTTTTTCCATCTTTCAGGTAACTTCATAATTCTGTTTTTCCTGAACTTCAAACATTTTTCATGAAGAGAATTCTGATATAGCATAAAGAAAGTAAAGTATTGTCATTATTCCATAGATTATAGAAATGAGCGAAAAGAAATATTAAAAACAAAAACTTAGAAAACTGTATTCTTCATATTATTTTGTAAAAGTAATAATAGAAAAAAATTACCAGTTGAAGTTTATGTGTTTTCTTGAAGAGGTTGGACAGGATTTCAGAGAGTGCTGGTAGAAGTTCACCATAAATCTGAGAACTTTCCTGGGAAAGAGATTTCCACCATTGTTAATGGTCAATTAGAATTATTCTTGTGTTATAATTTACAACAGAATTAGAATTAGGTAGAATTATTTGATTTTGCCATAAAGAAGTTTATTTTAAGAAGAAGCACTTTTAATCCATCATTAATTTGAAAAGGTTTCATATTAAGTTTTGTGCATCAAAATTTACATTTTATAAAAAATAAAATCATTGTATGTTTTAATGACTGACAGGAATAAGGCTTCACTTATTTGTTCTTGTACAAATATACACCATTGTAATTTTGCAACTCAGTAATACAGAACAATCCAGACTTTTTTTTAAGTGGTAATATATGTGCATACAGTGAATCACCCAAATCAAATGGTGAAACAAAAACCATCAACTATAAAAGTTGAGTCTTCCTAACTCAGTGTAGGCGATCTGGGATTGCAAAGGAAATGTTTGCCGCAGATTATTTCCACATCACAAAGAATAAATCACTAAGTTCAGACTCGAACATCGGGGACAGAAAGAAAATGCCTAAAACTCGATTTGCAAGCACTATTTCACAAATCCCAATGCACGCCACCAATCAGAAAAATAACTCACTCTCCAACAGCCGTGGCAGCCAAAATAGCCGACTTTTTCTTTTCCCCCCGATTCAGGAACACCAACTGCTTTTATTGGCCGAACATTTTTTTCCCATTTGTCGACAGCTGGGAGTGGATGTTCAGTAATTTGCATATCAAAATACTTTTATAGAGATTCCTGCGACGGACTTATTTTTTAATTCAAATATTCCATCTTCAGCATGTCATGTAGAATACGTGCCCTTTTGTTTGGTAAGTAATTTTCTTTTTCGACACATTTTCCGTCATAGAATACACGCGACGCACTGTCGTTTGGTTTGACGAGGTAAGTCGCCGTTTTCTTCGCTATAATCAGCCATATTTCTTGTCTCTCCAGCTCTCATATTTCCAATCCTCACTCACAGGAACCTAGTATATAATTGTAGATTACCTCTCTACTTAGGTAAGTTAGTGTAAGTTCAATTTTTCATTGTTATTTTATGAAACATCTTAAACCTGCTAAAAAGCTACCTCAAAAAAAAGTAAAGAAAAAAAAAATGCAATTTTTTATCTTCCAAGTCAAAATTTTTCTGAGGATTCTGAATCTACTTGTACCTTTTATTCTTTAATAAGTGTTTATTCTTATTTTTTTTTCAAAATATGTAGCTATCATCACTGATTGCTGAGTGTCCAACACAAGTGGATCTTAAATAAGAAAATTTCCTTTAAATAACAGAGATATAAAACAGTAGCATTTCCATAATGTTCTATACACAAAAAAACTATTTTCTGTTTAAACCAAGCCTTTTTTCGTTAACAATTTTACAATTATAATGTTGTGCCATAATAAGCCAAGCTTACTCAATCTCAATATTATAAGCTTTTGACCAACATTATGGCTGAGATAACTAATGTTCAAGTCCTATTAAAAACCTAAATTTTGAATGCTGTTTTTCAAAGCAAGACCTCCCCACTGTCCATTTGGTTTTGTGTTGTATTAAGTTCAGTAAACATCAATAATACAAGCTTTTTAATTTAAGACCACAAAAATAAAGAGCTGTACATGAGAAAAAAAAGCTCACCTTGCAATGCTCATAAGATTGCATAAGAATTTTAATGACAGATGGTGGCAAGGAGTGAATGCTCTCTAAGTCTACTGGCTGCTGTTTGTCCAATACATATTTAATGCAGGTATCAGAACATTCCAGAATGTCCAACACAAGCTGAAATATAAAAACATTGATAAAATGTTTTCACATTAGATAAGGTTTCAGAGTGCATCTTTTATTTCAGCTGCTTTTACCATGTTTCAAAACATTTTAAGAACATCTAACATCCAATATAAAATCTATAACATGGTCACCTATTTAGTATGTACATATTATATCTATTTAATATGTTGTGCTTTTAGTATGAGTGGAATAATTTTCTTCATAAAAAAATACAAGTCTCACAACACTATCAAAACAGATTAATTCTATTGTTACAAGTTAGTCACTAATCTGTTAATAATTTTAATGGGATAGAAAAACCTTCTGCTATTCATTAACAATAAATAAGGATTAACACCAAACTTGTAATAGGCTGGAATATCTTTGACACTTTTTAACATCCATGTCATTGTAGAATGTATGAAAAGAACCGAGCAAAGACAAAGGGGAATATTTTTCACAAATAATATTGTTTCTTTGTAAAGGTAAAAATGAAAGATAATGTTATTATTATGTGAATAAAAACAAAAGAAAAACTTATCTCAACCAATGCATTTCATCCTCTGAGGGACTTTATCAAGACAAAAGTGAGAATTTTATTTTGTAACAAGTATCTATATACAAGAGCAAAAATATTATAGGTTTTTCAAAATTTTTAGGTATAGGAACACTCATAAATATTCATCAGGCTGACTGAAATGTCAAGCAAGTTATGGAGGACTTAAAATGATACAATTCAATGTCCAATAAATGAAAATGAATAAGTGATGTTTTTGAATTTATTTTATGCAAATTAGTATTTAAATCATTTTAGTTTGGGATTAATTTATGTGTTATATATTTTGAATAACATGAGGTTATGGATTTAACTGTTTTCTTATAATATTTTTTTAAACATTTTTGTAGTATCTTGGCTTGGGAAAGTAGTAATTCTTTCAGGAATGGAGATATTGGAAAAAGTCTGGGACACAAATTTATATTTTTGATAAGATTTATATTTTGATAAGATTCAATATATATATATATATATATATATATATATACACACATACATACATACCTGCTTTAGAATCATTACACCTTTATAATGAATAAGACTTCCATAAGTTACCAGTTTGTAGCAGGTGTTATTTTGTAATGGATGCAGTTGAGAATTGTTATGAAGAGATTGAGAAGTTTAAAAAACAAATGAATTTCAACATGTGAAAGAATTTTTACATATTTTTATATATATAGAATAACATAATTCAAGAAGAGAAAAAAATATACTGTGTGTACATGATCGTTAGAAACTGTGTGTGTGTGTGTGCGTGTAATGCACCATGTGACTGGCTGAAATTAAGATAGCCTGTCGACATAAGACATCTCCTCCAGCAGAGATGTTCTGTTGTTTTCACTACTACATTCAGCAACAAAATAGAAAGAAAAGGGATTTATGACCTTCCTTTTATAATTCTGAAACAGAGCCACCTAGCAGTGTCCTGGCAGACTAGGTGGGTTAATCACAATAATTCTTTATACAGTTCATATAAATTTATAAAGGGATGTAAACCAATATTTAAAACTATAAATTTCATCTTTTTTTTTTACAAGGTCTGTCTAAAACAGTGGTTCTCAAATGATGTGGCATGACTCATAGGTGTGGCAGAATGATTGAAAGACAAAGATTTAGAAACAGTTTCAAAAAAATCATAAGCCAAAAATAAATATGATTTCAAAATCTTCAATACTATTATGGAATACTTATAATTTTTTTAATTCTTATTAAGTATTAAAAATATAGTAACTAGGATCCACAAATTGGAGGAGAGAGTTATCAATAATATTCTGACGATGAATAATAACCCTCTCTCTGGACCTTCTTGGCAGTAGGTCTGCTTGCACCTTTTCACTGGGACTTCCACAAGGATTTTCAGTTCTGACAAATATCAAAAACCAAAAAAAGGAACAACTTTGTGTTTATGAGGAGATGACAGTTTATTTATCTTAAATAAAGCTTAATATAAAGGAGATCACTCATTAAAAACAAGCTCATACCTTTCATTAAATTTGTGCACTTTAATCATATTATAATTTATTTGTGTTATATATAATATTTAATGCACTATTGGTCATTGTTTTTTTTTTTTATCTTTAAATGTACTTTTTAACACATAAAATTTGGTGAGGTGCAAGTAAATTTTCATTTCAAAAATGCTGCCAAGAGAAAAAATATTTGGGAACTATGGGTCTAGAGAATATCCAACAATTATATCTTAAGGATCAGTTGTGCAGCTTATATATAACTTGACAATCAAATCAAATATGTAAATAAGCAAAGGGTAGCTCACTTTTAAAATGTGTGCTATATGAAGTCTTTAAATTTTTAAATGTAGCAAAGAACTCTTCTTGGTATGAAAAAATTTGTCCAACAAAGATTGGAATGAGAAAAATTTAATAACTGACCTCAAGAAGACCAATCAGTTGCTGATGGTCATGAAGAATTTCATCTGCAGCTTTGGTGATGGTGTCTTTGATATTCTGTAGAGTCTGAGTTAGAAAATCATTGGTCTAGGGAACAAAATAAAAACAAACTACATCACAAATCTGATTAAACTTTTAATAACCAAACCAATTCTTTCAAAAACTATAACTCCACCCAACCAACCAACAGATCTATTTAAGTCGATAATATGACTACTCTTGAGTTAAAGCTATAAATATTCACAGAAGCATTTTAATCGGAATGAAATGTTTAAGATTTATTCTGATGAAAGACATCATTCTTTTTTGTTGTTTTTGCTGCTGTTTTGCACATATTTTTCTTGACCTTTTCAGGGGAATTCTTCACAAAATGTAGCAATATTTACACAAGTTAAGTTTTTAAATTGTCTTCAAGGCTTTCTCTTTTGACATTCAAAATTTAATTTCCAATATTAAACATCTGTGATTATGCATGATTATACAGTGCTCACTCTATCTACTTAAAGATTTTAGATAAATTAGAGAAATAATGGAAATGCATTTACAATGATTATCATATCATAAATGTTTACAACATTAAAACAAGGAATATAACCACATATGTAATACTTATTTTAACAATTTACCTACTTTTATACAAAGGCAAAGTAGAGTAATGGATTGCAGCTTGGATTGAAGAATCAGAGAGCTAAGTTCAAATTCCAATCAAGTTCATTAGATTCACTTATGTACTAATACCCTTGGGAAAAGTATAAATCCAACACTTCTACTCCTAGCTATGGTTAAATAGTAGGACAGACTGGGTTTTATAGTCTTGGGTGGTAACTAGTCTAAAAGGAAAATTCTGAATTCAAAAGTGTATGTAGCCCTGGTAAAGCACATACTATGCGGCTAAAGAAAGGATCATTCACATTCACTTGATGATCCCAACTGTGGTCAATTCCTTTTATACAAAGGAGATACTCAGAATTTGGCCATATGACTATAGATAAAATGACTTCTTGTCTGAGCCAAGAAATCTTCAACACCCCATCATACCTACACCAGTCTCACAGCTGCAACCACTTCTACATATACTGGTCAAGCAAAAAGACATAAGCAGCAATTCTTGAAGAATTCCAATCCATCTTGATTTTTGGATACAAAGAAACAAAAGATTTTGATAGGCTAACAACTTATCAACCTCTGTTTAATGTCAAATAAAATTCTTATATGAAACAAAAGAAGGAATGATGAGAGCCAAATAAATAATAAAATTTATTCTGGTGGTATATAAAATTGTACATGTCTGCTATCAATTCACTTGTCGGGGTTCAGTTTATATGTGAAACACAAAAAAAAAACAACTTTCCTACAGAGGAATAGTTAATAAAATGTATATAAGTTGAATGGAAATTACACTACTTGATTTGTATTAGAAATAGTAAAGATAAAGATTTCTTGGACACTTAATAAAGAAAGAGGGCTTTGAGTATTTAACTCACAGGACATATTAAAGGAAAAAGAGGAACAGAGGGAAAACAGCAGTTAACCTACCTAATGATTCTATGTAAATGGGAGGGACAATAAGGTGGGAAAAATATTGCTTATAACTACAAAGGACATGAGGCTATGGAGAACTATGATCATTCATATCCTCAAGAGACAAGGCACATAAAGAAAGGAGGGTGGAGATTATGCTCAAAAAGACAAGATGTTGCCTTATGAAATAGACACATGTGAGAAAATAACTGTTTCTTATACAACATTCCACACAATCCTTCAAATCAGTCTTATTTTTCACTTGTTTATCTGAATCTTTCTGAAACTCATACAATCTAAAATCTATGTGTTAAAGGAATTTGAATAGATCCATAATGCCTATGAATTTTAATCCAGCAACGAAAAACACCAAAAACAACTGTTAGTTTCAACACCAGTAATAACAGCAGACACTAGAACATTCTGTCCTTTCTTCTCTGTAGAGATAGTATGTAAAGAACTATTACCTAATCTTAGTTGATTTACCAAAAGGAGAGACAGATAAATATATTTGCTCTTATAAAACAGAAATGCAAATCAAAGATGATTTCTGGTAATGAATACAGGTACTCATATATACTGGAAATCAAAACCACAGAGATACAACAATGTGTGTGTTGGTTCTAATCCTTGGAGGAATGACTACAAAAAACACAACCCCTCCACAAAATGTATAGACAAATCCTACAGATTTTTACTGAGATTTTAAAAACGAACCACTTGTCAGTCTCATCCACCATATGTTTTCTTGTCTTGAAGTCAAAATGCTACAATCACTGTGTGAAAATCATTCTTACTTTGTGAATATTTTTTTGCTTAGTTTTGTCTTGCATATATATTGTTTGCTTAGTATTATTTTTCTCCACATTCTTTTTCTTTCTTTTCTTGTTATTTGTTGAGCATTTTGTTGATTACACTTAATTGTGACCAATTACATCAGTCTGAAACCTATTGATGTAAATAGCATTTCCCCTAACTAATATTTATCTTTTAACATAATCTCCTTTCTTGTCAATGCACTTAATTTAGTGGCGAATATTAATCACATAGATCAAGTATTATACAGTAAAGATTTTCAGATAAAAATTGAACTAATAGTTATTAGGCTACAGAGTTATTGATCCACTCTCAAAGAATATAAGTAGAATTTGAGATACCATTAACACTGACATAAACAAAATGCCGAAAGACATTTTCTTTTCAAACCTGAATTTCTATGAACAACCAGCAACTTGCAAGCTTAACAAATCCCTTTATTAAATTTTATTAAGTCTTACCTTGTCAGTGATTTTACAAAAGAGAACATCTTCAACAGCCATTAGTTTTATGTGTGGTAGAAATGAGGAACAGATGACCTTGAGGATTCCTGGAAATAACAGTAACAAAATTTCTGGCAAAGCCTTCTCAATGAACAATAAATGCCACATCAACAACAACAGTAATAATAGAGAAATCTAAAAGAAAAGCATGAAATCATAATACACATATATATATAAAAAAAAATGTGTATCCATATATGAGGAGCCGCTGAAAAGTTCTCAGCCTAACAACTAAGCACTTCTAACAAAAATTTTGATATTTGGTCATTTGGTTAGAATTTTGGAAGTGCATCAGATCAAGAACTTTTCAGTACCTCCTTGTACATATATTTGTATAAAACTTTTCAGAGAATGTAGATACTACACAAGATTAAAGTGTTACAGAGAAATAATTTGATCACACAGAGTGCATAGCATCTTGATCCATATGTAAATAATACTGCAATTTTTTATGAGTACAATACATGTTTCTTTAATAAAATACTTCCAAAATAATAGAGAAAATCTAAAGTTTATTCACAAAAAAAGAAACTGGAATGATTGGAATTTGTTTAATATACAACATTTTTAGAATATAAATATAGTTTTTAGTATATTTTTATTACAGAAATATATAAAGTTTTTACTTAAAAAAAACTTCCAAAACAATACTTTACCTCTGAGATTAAACTTATCACTAAACAATTACTTTCTTTCTTTTTTTTTAACAGTGGCCTGGGGACCACTCAAAGTAGAGGCTTACAGAGTAAGAGGCACAGATTATGCAGATATGTGTGGAAGATAATGGTTAACCTTAGACTTGAACAGGTTAAAATTGTAGTGATCAGGGAAGCAGCCTCTTGAGAATCAGTTCCAGAAGGCAGCGTGGTTTATGGGAAGAATCTGCTTGAGTGGAACTTACATCTCATTAGGGGAATATGAAGGGAATGAAGGTGGTTCACCAAAATGTGTGTGACATGGCAGGTCTTAGCTGTGAAGGTTATGACCAGTGGAACTAAGGAGTGTAGTTCACCTAAACACTCTCCATGCAAAACACTCTCCATTGCAAAGTCTTGTCTGTAAGAAAGAGGTTGCAGAGTGGAAAATAATTTGTTGCCTAAAAAGACGCCAAGACGTGTTTGGACTCTATCAAAAGTAAAAAGTGAAAACTGGACAGCTCCCACCCATATATGGCAGCAGTATTTTTCAGCTTTATCTCTCATGTAAAGATAGAGGCTAACAGGAAGAGTGAGGTACATGCTGGAGCAGTACAGGGAACCTATTATTTTCCCTCTAATCAAATGATTTTATATTATGGTCAAAACTTATTACTTAAAAATTAATGCCAAAACCATTTAGTTCATCTCTACATTGTTTTGCTTTGTATATGCACAAGCAAGTTAGTTACATTGTGTTATCATGAAAAGGTTAAGCTGTATATTAAGGAAAAAATAATTCAAGTTTAAAGAATAAAAATACAAGGATTAACAAAATTTGATTTATGCCATTTTTAAATTTTTATATTGCATTATTGTTTTATAAGTTCTTCAAGTGTATTTTTCATCATGAAATCAAAGAATGCACTCTTAATTTCTCACTTTTGTCTGTGAGTGGATGGACAAGAGAAAGAGGGCTTGGTAAGTTCAACAGACAAAGGCTGAATTATTAAACATTTCAAACATCATCTCATTCAATTTTCTGAAGGAAATTGTTGTTACTATTAGACATTGATTTATCTAGACATGTACACAACAAGAATACTCTTACAGGACATCACGTCACAAGAAAGTGAGTTCTTTCAACAACAATATCAACTCTTTAATCAACATTAGCTTCATCAATCTCCTTGATGTTGGTTAAAATGCATCAGGGGTATTAAAAGAAAAATGAAATAACATTTTAATTCAATTTAATTTTTTTTTAATATGAACAATTAATGAATAAAAAAACAGTATAAATTTTAATTTCTACTTACCTATGCCATGATGTAGGTCATTTCCATCTCTGAAATAAGTCTTTGAAATATTAAGGAAACAAAAGTGCTTATATTTTGGCTATAATTATCAAATGTTTACAGTATTATTATTATACAAGCCAGAGATTGCAAACATACTTTACTATTTATTAATTTTTCAAATAGTATTTCTTTCATCTTAATTACAATTGCACTCAAACTGTCATTCTCTAATCAACAGTAAGCAATACTGATTAAGAATAAGGAATAATCCAACAGTAAGATTTAAGCATATATCCTGTTACGTAGAGAAAAAAAACAAGTAATAATTGACAATGCTCTATTTAAAAATTTAAAAAAAACAATATATTTTGCTATTGCAGAACTCTTAAAATATTCTTCATGTATCAAAGAATCCTTAACCTATTATATGAATGTGTATCAATAAATCTGTAGCTTGTCACAATTATTAGCTGAATTTTGATGTATGGTGATTAATGAATTAAGTGCATTAACAAAAAAGGAGAGTATTTTGAAAACAAAACACTGAAAGTGATTGTAATTTGTTTAATAAAGGTTGTACTTAATGAATATATAGTTTAATTAAGATTTGTTCATTATCTGTAAAAAAGAGGCACTTTTTATATTATCTTAGGGGTTCGCTTACTTTTGCACAGCACTGTGTATGTATATATATATATATATATATATATATATATATATATATATATAAAGAAATATAGTTTTAAGGTATGCTATATTTATGGGATAAAGTGCTCAATATCATAGATAAAGAATATGTAAATATAAGATATAAAAGTGGTCATTAAAGTCAACACTCAGAGGTGACAGACTGTTTCATGCTAAACATAATTGTCAGGCCTGACGATTGTGCTTAGCATGAAAGTCTGTCACTTCTGTGTGTTGACTTCAATGTCCACTTTTATATATATATATATATATATATTATGAAATGGACTAAGTTCAACAATTATTTTAATATATTTTCTGTTTATACATTATTTTTATAGATAAAATTATTTAAGTAAATACACTGTTTATAATAAATAGTATTAATTACATCCAAGAAATTTCCTAGAAAATATGTATGCTCTGACACAGGTTCAAATCCTATGTTTGAGGACACAGATTTTCTACAAAGTTTCTCAGACATTCAGGCCAGTAAATGTAATTAATACTGCCTATTATAAACAGAGTATTTACTTAAATAATTGTATCTATTAAAATAACGTATAGAGAAAAATATATTAAAATATTTATATATATATATATATATATATATATATATATATATTGCGTATATTTTAGCTGCATGTTTTCATTAGGACATGTCTCATTAAATAATTTAGACAAGTTTTGTCTACTTATTTTTAATAAGATGCTTTCATAATTATGGACAAGTTTCTTAGTATCCTTATTAAACGAAGAAAGAAAATTACCATGATGATGCATATTCATTTTTTCCAGGTACTTTTGACATTAGCACAATGTCGAAAGTATGTAGATGCATGTGCAAATGTTAAAGGAGGTAACAATGTTATTAAAATGTCTATTTTAAAAAAAAAGAAAAACAAAATATTTAAAACTATTAGTTAAAATCTAGATTTTTAAACTATTTACTGTAAATATTTTAAAATATTTGTGCAGTATTCATAAATAATTTTATTAAAAGTTGGTTTCAATTTTTTAATATAGATAACTTCAAGAATTTTTAGTTTATGTTTATTATTTCATGAAAATATACAGATATTTTTTCAACAAGAACTTTCCTAAATTGCAAATGTGGACAGGCATGCTATTGTAAATGTTGAGAATTTAGATGCAACATTCAAATGAAAACTCAATCTTTGAGACAACATAGCAGTGATATGGCCAACATATATATTATTTTTTCTTCAGAATCTCCTGCAATTTTTCTCGACAGTCTCCTTGTTTAAATTGGTGAATACTGCCATAATCCTTGCCTTCAGTTCATCTTTGTTGTTACAAGGAGTTTTGTTTGTCTCTCGCTAAACTGCATCTCACACATAATAAAGGTGATTGCAGTCTGGGGAGTTAGGTGGCCAGATGTAAGGAGTGATGTGGTTGCAGAAATTGTTTGACAGCCATGACTGGGTTCTCCTGCTTGTGTGACATGGTGCAGAGTACTGTTACTAAACATAGGGTTTCCAGCAGCCACCCTCTTGACCCAGGGCAGCACTACCTCCTCAAAGCACTTGATATAGGTGTTGAGTCTGAGGCCCTCACCAACAAATTCAGGAGTTATTTTCTTATCAGAATGATCAGAGGGAGTTTCCCAAGCTGCTGTACCTTTGTAATCACCATTAGACTCCTCCAACTCTTTCCAAGTCCTCTGCATTGTCATCAGATTGACACCCAAACACTCTGAAATATTCATATTGGAGCTTCCAGTGTGAATGCCAAGCAATACAGCATGCTGTTTCCAAATTTCTGGTGGAATGAATAGTGCCATAGTGCTCTTTTTCTCACAGATGGTGCTCAACTGATCCTACTAATACTGTACAATTGACAACATAAAAAACAATGTGCATGTCTAAAATTAAAAATATAAAATGGCAACAAATTACCCATCACACCTGGTATGTGTGTGGATATATATATATATATATATATATATATATATATATATATATATACACACACACACACAAACAGCTGTTCTATGGTGAATTGACAAGCTGCAAACGTCCTCCACACAAACCAAAAAGGCGCTTCAAAGATGTCATTAAAAATACCTTAAAAATCTTGGAATAAGTAAAAACAATTGGGAGGAGGCAGATGATTTGTTTATGATGGTTGTAACAGTTTTGAAGAGAAAAGGGTTGAACATGCAAAAGTGAAATGGGGCTGAAGGAAAGGTGATGCTAATCTGTTGCCTCTAAACTCCCAGCATAAACGTACTTTTTGCAGTAGAATTTGCTTTTCAAAAGCTGGTTTAACCAGTCACGAGATACCATCTCTACAATACTATAGACCATGTTTCTCAGACTGAACGCCTTCCTCCCAGACCAAATGGCGTCCTGTCAATTTTGCGACAAAATCTGCAAATCATCTGCTGGTGTAAAGAGGCACACTAATAGATTTCATCAAGACAAAATAACCTTCAAAACTCTTGTTACACCATTCAATTGTTATTTATATAAGAAAGCTTGTAAGAGTGCAGCAGTGTTAAAGAACCACTTGCACATGAATGTGGCAATGTACTGTAAGTTGCAGTCATTATCATAAATTTGAACTGGCTGTATTTTGTTTTAAAGCTTTCTTAACAGGGTGTTATTCCTTTTATCATTTTACTAGCTTCCCTTCTTTTATATCCTTTTTAATATTCCTTTAACTTTAAGTTATAAATTAACTTAAAAATTAAGGATAGGCTTTTATAAATTGTTTGCAAATGCAAGTGATTTTTTTTTACCATATTTCACACTTTTTTAATTTTATCATTTTAAAATCCTTTTATACTTTCCGATCAAACAAATCTTCATTTTAAAAGTAAGCAGAGATGGTCATCTTCTGTAAAGAAGCAGCAATCGTCACATATATGATAGGATAATGAACAAATAGAAAATGTTTATAAATTTAACATTTTTTGCTTTTATTTAAGCTTTATCAGAAATTAAATATCGAAGAGAAAATTCTGGTATTTTTTAGTTGGGTTGTTTGTTTTTTATTGGTTAGATAGATCATACATGCATTTGTCTTGTTTGGTAGTGTTCATGTGTATATGTGTGTTTGTGTATCACAATTCTAGTTGGTCTATGCCGTATTTGGTTGATAATGTATGTGTGTGTGTGTGCTTCAAGTAGTATCCATATATTGACTGGAGGAGATCATATATATATATATATATATATATATATATATATATATGAGAGAGATACACAGATAAAGGAATTTCACAAGTCTAACTAATGGAATAACATTAGTTTTATGCTTCATCTTCATGACAAATGTACAGAAAATGAAATATGCCATTGTTTGGTATGGAAAACAAAAAGTTAACATACATTCAACTTCCTTCCTTTGTAAAGGATACAATTAGCTTTGGGAGTGCTTTGTCCAAGTTCTGCTGACATTTCACATCCTCCCAACTAGTAACATCTTCCAGGAATGTAGTCTGTGACATCCTGTAAGCTTTTTTTTCTGGAATGGAAAAACCAGGAGTAATTTTTCAGAAATAATAAAATGCTGTTATCATCTGATTTTAATCACATCACTTGATAATCAGAAAAAATGAGTCCAATCAATTTAAACTTGGTTTGAAATAGAGCAAGTATTTTGCTTATTGGAAATATTAAATTTAATCTATTGAAATTAAAACTAAAATAAAAACTTCAAGAAAGAATATTCAATTTTTTTAAACCTCAGGTATAACTTTTTGTGGGGAGATTATATATATATATATATATATATATAGGTACCTCCAATGATTTGCTAAAAAATGAGCATACATGATGAAAAAACTTAAAACAATGTTTTATTGTCAAAGTCATTGTGTTATTAAGAGGAAAGGCCAAAGGATGTTTTAAAAATTTATTTTTTTAATCCTTTTTAGAACCTACAAAATTTTAGTTAGAAATCTTTTTTTTTCTTGCATCAGCAGGTGACTAAATTAATATAGAAAATTTTAGTGTCTTTTTGTAGTGAAAAACATTGATTTGGAAATTCTTATCAAACCATCGTTGTATTTTAATGAAACTTTCAGGACTTATTCACAAATAAATTAAATTATTTGAGAACCATTTTTTTTTTTTAAAGAAAATCTTGGTAAAAATATATATATATTTTTACACTTGTTACCTCCTAAAATCATTATTATTAAAAGGAAAGACCAAAGAAGATTTTGATGTAAAAATTAATTTTTAATCCTTTTTAGAACTTTAAAAGTTTTGGTTAAAAAACTTGTTTCTCTGGCATCAATGGGGGCCATAAATTAGTAGGCAAAATTTAATACTTAATATTAGTTATAAGGACAAGTCCTAGAAATATTTAAATCATCAATTTCTTTAGTCAAACAGGACCCCCAGTTACAGAAATCTGCTCTGAATTGTAAAATAAAAAATGAAATAAAACAAATAATTATTTAATTAAAAATGCTTTTAATTGTTTTTATGAATAAGATGTATTATGGACACTATTTTTTGATAAATAATGAATTTTTACAAGAATTGTTTTCATTTTTTTAATTATAATAATTTATACAATTTCAAACCTTTCAAAATTCTGTATTAATTTATAGCAGTTAGGGAATATTGTTATTAAGTAAAAACTATATTTACTAATCATAAATGGATAAGCTTACTACAATTCAGTGACTCCCAGTATTTAAAAAATAATTTTAGATTTTATGTGTGTGTGTGTGTGTAAACGTGTTGATTATTTTTAAATACGGACGTCTACACGGCAGTATCAGAAAATAGCAGTGGTAACTATAGTAAAAAACCAAAATAACTAAAATTGAATAAAACATTAGATAACTTGTCAAATTTTTAAGTTTGCTGTGTAGTTCAAAAAATTATATAAAAAAAAAGCGTTCATGTTATATTCGTCAAGTAATTTTTATGGACGTGTCCCCTGTATAAAAATAAAAAATGAGTTAAATTTCCCAAACAACTAGCTGTCAATATAGAGCTATCAACACCTCATAAAAACACCCACCTGTGTCAAAAAATGCTTTTCTGAAACATAACAGAAACTGTAGGTAATTTGAAATCAGATTGAAACTTTAAATCAGCTAATCTTCCTCAAATGAAATGTCAGATATTTTATTTTCTAAAAATTTTAACCTTATGCTGAGAGAATTGTAAATTATGACTAAAAAAATCAGCAATATTTAGTGATTTAAAAAAAAAAAAAGAACTTATTCCAATCAATTTAAAAAATTAAATTCGTTTTGAAATACAGCAAAATGCTTATTGGAAATATTAATTAGCTTGAAATTAAAACTAAAACTAAAAGCTTCAAGTTTTTTTGTTGTTTTCTTTTTATTTTAAAAAATTCATAAACCATAGATGTCGCTTTTCTCAAAATTTTATAAATAAATTAAAGCGATGTAAAAAAAATATATTTTACCAAACTTTAAAAAAAAAGAAATGTTTCAAAATAATTTAATTCATTTATGAATAATCATGAAAGTTTCATTTTAAAATCCAATAATTAGCTGATTTTTGCAAGAATTTCTAAAAAAAAAAAAAAAAAAATCAATGTGTTTTTCACCGCAAAAAAGACGCTCAAATTTCCCATACTAAAATTCTGGCAAAATCGGGGGACCATAAATTTACTCACTAAATTTATGCTCCCCGGTTGACACCAGAGAAACAAGATTTTTAACCAAAATTTTGAAGGTTCTAAAGAGATTTTAAAAAAATTATAGATTAAAAAAATCGCTTGGTCTTTCCTCTTAATTTTGACGATAAAACTTTGTTTCTAAGTTTTGACATGAGCATCTTTTCATCATGCATACTCATTTTTTAGGAAATAAAATAAAGAAAATGCTAAACGAATTTAAATAATCACAAGAAACATCTTTTTTACGAAATATAAACTTTTCAAAAGTTTCCTAACATTTTTTACAAATAAAAAGCTTTCGGAAGTTTTTATTACAAAGAAACTGAAAAAAGATAAAGGAGGACCGCTTGATCCGTGTAGTATTGTAAGGGGGAAAAAATTACGAAGCTTTTAAATTTAATTATTTCACTATGTAAAATATACTTATATAGTAATTTTCTAAATTAAGTGTATATCAATCATTTGCAGTGGTAAATTTTAAGATCAACTAAATTAAAAGTACCTTAGTTAAAAAGAAAATAGACTTCAACGATTTTTTGCAGTCTGTACTACACGAAATGCTACATTTATTTTTTTCGACATGATATAAATTAAAATATACAGTTATCAATGGATATAATAATTCGTCACTAAAATATTCTATCAAAATCAAAAACATAATGAGCTAATTTTTTTACATCGCAAAAAAACGTGTTATTTATTACATTTTAACCGTAGAAATGAGGAGTAAAAAACAAAATAAACAACTTTAAAAGAAGTTAAAATTGAAAATTCTTTTAAAGTGTGTAAATCTGTTTTGAGTTCCTCAAATGATTAAATGTCATCGGAATGAGTTAAAAAGTATCTTACGATTATACTTGTCAGCTTAAATATAAATGTGGATAGACACACATAATGAAAAACTTGAAGTTGGCGCCTTAGTCAGCCATGATGACAAACTTTCTATTTAGGCTCCTTCAAAACGCGAAACAGGACAACCGAAAAAAGAAAAGTTAAATATAGTTTTTTACCCTGCCCAAACCAAACAAATAACTGTAGATTAGAAAACAAGCATTAAATATTAATTACACAGATTCTGTTTAATTTAACAGCAATATAATAAAACAAAATCTTACAGATAAAATTTAAGAAATAAAAGAGAATTCTCAAGGCTTCATATTACAAATTGTGACAGATTCATTGAAAACTTTCATAATCTGTCTTCCTGAGTTTTTTAAGTTAAAAACAATCATTTTGTGATAATACTGCGATTTATTATTGAACAACTGTACATTACTTTATTAAATTCACTTACACACAACAGTGTAACCCGGATATAAGAGAGATTTTCTCTGGTCCCAAATTAGAGCCTGTGTTATTAGACCAAACCCGGATATAAGAGATTTATTCCCCGGTCCCGACAACTCTCTTATATCCGGGTTACACTGTATAAATCTTCTCCCAGCTATGGATTGAATAGCAGAACAGACTGGATCCTATCGCAGAAAGAAATGGCAACTTACTGCAAGAAAATCTTCTATCTGGTCAGTCATGAATAGGAAGAGACATGATCACCTAAGTGTGTATAATGTATGTACTTATTTAACTGACTGTACATTATTTTATTAGAAAATTCCTCGTGTATGTACAGGTGTGGCAGAAAAACACAATTTACACATCAGTCAGTTATGTGCCATCTGTGATACACACTTAGGTGATCATGTATCTTTTGATACATGACAGATGAAGTTTTTTTTCCTGTAGTAGGTTGCCATTTCTTTCTGTGGTAAACCAGTTGCCACCCAAAGCTATAGAACCTGGTCTGCCCTACTATCTATGCAAGAAGAGGATTCATACCTTTCCCAAGTTTATTAGTACATAAGTGAATGTAATGGATTCGACTGGAATTCAAACTCTGCTCTCCAATTCCTCAAAAACCCATAATTCCCATAAACACATAGAGATAACAAATTAAAGCCAAATTTATAGAATTATTAGAAAACATACACACCAAAATTTCATCTAGCTAAGTCACATACACACCGTACTCGACTCAAAACAAATTTTAAAACAAACACAAATATACAAGAGTGCTGGCCATTATCAACGTGACTCTTGCTTGCCACAGAGATCTACAACCACATCCATGCATTTCCCTTATATAAGCTATAATCTCTATCTATAAAAGGCAGGATATGTGTGTGTGTGTGTAACGAATGCATGGCCGCAATTTTCGACAGATTTGCGCCAAAATTTGCATGTACATGCTCCAAGTTAGTGGGAAGGCAAAGACCGACTTTGCATTTCCCAACTCCCATCAATAGTGGAAATAATTGATTTTTTTCATGCTTCTACGGCAGTTTTCATGTAGTTTGCGGCCATAATGAGAGCCTATAGCTGGCTGTCACGAACAGACAGGAAGATTCTATTGGCCAGCATGAGAGCTGACTGACACGAATGTTAACTAGCATGCAAAAAAAAAAAAAAAAAACATCAATAACTGCATTAGTCACAAGTGGGAAAAATTTAAATCTGCATGGCACTTTACTCCAATTGGCTCATTCGCTTGCTTAAACTCAACGTTGATTCTAATTCCGCAGAACTGGGTTGGGTGTGAAAAAGTATTTGTTGTTAACATTCTTTTTTTCATTCGGTTTTTCCAGTTAAGAGTCCTTTTTTAAAGCTGATCATTTTGTGTTCATTTTGCTTAGTTCTTTTTTCGTAACAGATTTAATGTTTAGTATAGAGCTTAGAAAAAATTCCCAGTGTGAGATAGGCAAGAAATAAGGCATGTAGCAACATCAGTATGGCAAAGGGCACTCCTTTAAAGGCAAAAATATTTTAAGTCAAGTGATAGCAATTGCTGTATGAGTCATACGATTTTTGAATCAAGCACGGGCAACGCTGCTAGTAAAGAGAAGCCAGACAGAGACTACACACACACACTAACCATAGAGGCTGCTAATCAAGAGCATGGCTGACTGCCAGTCCAACCATTAGGCTGTGAAAATGACCTCCTGTGAACACAGAAAGAAGACAGACTCTACTATCCACATGACAAGCCCAAATTGATAACCAACAAGCAGTCAGACGGCTTAAGCATACTCCTTTTTCACACCTTATACATTCAAACATTACACTATACGACTTACCAGAGACATTTTCATATCTTGTAAATGAAAATAAATCTTTAGTCATTTCTCCAAACCAATGTTTGTTTCTTTACTCCAACCAACTTCCACCTTGGATCACAGGGAAGAAAGAAAGTGGACTTCTTTATTGTAAATGGTACTGAAGACAAGCAAGAAATAATTTTCCAAGAGGAATAATAAATATTTTCAGCTTGTATTTTTTAATTACTAACTTTTAATGTTGCCAAAAAGTTTCACTTGTAATAGAAGGCAGAATGAAAAAAAATATTACTTGTGTCTCCTTTGGCAAAAACTAGACAGCAATATACTAGGTTTTTTCATCCTTCATATTTAAAAACAACTCCATCATGCAGCAGGTGTCAAGTATCTTTCCTAGTTGAACATATGCTCATAAGTTGTCATCATCTCAGTCAAACCCAAACAAAATATTATCATACAAATAACACAAAAGAACTCTTTCAAAACACTAAACCAAACAATATCCATAACTTAAAGGAAATCAAATTTTTATACCAAAATATATAAAAAAAAAAAAGACACCAAAACTACATAAAACCATTAATAGATTTGAAAACTGAATAAGAACCCTTCAGAGTTCCTAAATATCACTACTAAAAGTAACAATACACTAAAAAAAAAAAAAAAAAAAAAAACTTGTATCAAAAACTGAATACAAAATAACCTATTAGAAACCAGCATCTCTAATAAATGATTAAAAAGAAAAAAATACTTTTTCCAACTACCCTGTACTAAAAACTATCACTAATTCACATACATCAAGCTATACCCAAAACAACCATGATTCAAGACCTTTATCTGGCCTTAAATAACCCTATAGTGGTTGAAGATCTATTGTAAAAATGTACTTAGCCAAATGAAGCATGTGTGATGTAATGCCAATCAACACATACATTAGTTTGTTTTTTAAATTCATTCCACCCCATGCAAGACAATAATGCCAGGTTACTGAGAATGGGAAGACTTTAGTAAGAAAGGACAATAAAAGAACAGGTTTCAGGAAGAAAAATGGCAATTGCCATTGGTAAAGCATTGCATCAACATCTGGTAAAGTTTTAGATGTTTCTTAGGTGAATGCTGTGGCTACATGAAAAAAAAAAAAAAGGTGGTGGTGTCAGAAATTGTCATTTTGGTTTATTCAACTGCTTTGACAGCAAAACAAGAGGGACAGGATTTTGGAAATGAGGAAAGCAGTGTCAATTAGGGCTCTTCCTTGTAGCACTCACCAGTAGACTGGATAGCAGGCAAAACAGTTCCTCCTTTATGCAACTTGATTAGTAAGTCACAAATCACAACTCCCAGCACACACTCATCTCAGGCCTAAATATTCTGATATACACTGATAGGAAGTAACACTTATTTATCTCCAAAGTGTTTGGAGATGCCATGCCTAATAAAAATGTTCATTTTTACACTTCCAGCTTGTGAGAGTATTATCTCTCTACGATAGTCATCAGCCAACAAGGGTACCATTATCAATCTATCACATCAACTAGTTGGGATTAGTCATTGTGAACACTAGAATCTTAGTATTTTGAATTCAGAATTGCTCTTAAATTGGTTGCCAACTACAGTTATGAAAGCTTAGTCTGCCCTGCTGTTTAACCCACTGCTGAGGAAGAGATGGATTCTCACGAGTATTAGCACAGAAAAGAATGTAACAGAATTTGAACTCTGCTCACCAATATCTTGTTTCATATACAATTAATACCATGTAACACAGCTGTTTGAGGTTTCCTACAGACCCACTGAACTTAAATAAAGTCAATTCAGGTTTCCTATGGTAAAAATTTTCTTTCCCAAGTGAAAATCATCACAAAAATAGCAAAAGTCATTTTGTCACAGCTTATTTTCTCTCAAAATATGGGTTTTCATACTTTTTTAGGGGTAAAATATTGAAAAATGACTGTTTTATCATCACCTAAATGAATATCAAGGAAACTTTTGATCTGAACCCCATGAAACTAGGTATTTTCTGAAAGCAAAAGATATATTCTTTCAGTTAAAAGTAAAATTAGCTGGTGTAAATGACTCAAAAATTTTTTCAGTGGGTAAAATGTGAAAAAAAATAGTGAAAATTTTGCATTTTTTTCTTGTTCTAAACAAATATTTCCCCATTAATGGGGAAATTAATTTTTTTTTTTTTTTTTTTTGAAAATCAGAAAGCCTAGATCATAATCAAACTATTTCAGGCATAAAATTGAGAGTTTTGAAGGAAATCAACATTCCTAGGGGTTCAAAAAAATACGACAAAATCCATTGTTAATTTTCAATTATGACTGCCAAGGGTTAAAAAAATTGACACCTGGCCACGGAAATCTTTAGTAAAAGGCAAGAGATTTATCTGCAATTCCTAACCACCAGAAACCAAAAAGTTTTTTTTTTCCCAAAAATAGTGATAAGGAAAATAAACCTAATTGACTTTTGACGTCTAGGTCAAAGGCCAGCCAGCCAGCAAGCAATAAACGGACGGCAAACCTTAGAACAAGTTGTAATAAAACCCACCACTCCCAGATAAAAGCAAAGGGTGAATAAAAAGGGTTCACAATTACTAGGGCTTCATATAACCTATGTTTGAACAATGGCTTGATAAGTTTTGTTTTGTTTTTAACACCCCGTGACCCGGGTGATGACAACAACACTTAGCAGACAACATTGTTTTTTTTTTCACGCATATCTTTTGTATTTCCCATCGCCGGTCCATTTAGCCTTTCTTTTTATTCAATGATGTTCATGCCAAATGAAAGAGAAAGGAATGAATTTTGAATGATGTTATTTTGAAGCGAAAATGAATATTTTTTCATTAAAAAAAGGGGATTTTTCTCAGAAAATTGTGCATAATTTCTTAATGCTAACCGCCGAGTGACATTTTCCACAGCCAAATCAAAGATTAATTACCAGTGAATAATTCCATGTGCAAAAAATAGCCGTCTGGATCCTATAAGGTCGCCCTAAAAGGTCCAGAAGTTTACTAATTGATCGAAAACCTGTTAGCATAATTGTATTTTTCACGGTCAGTTTCCATTATTTCATCTTGATATTATTTTCGGACAGCCAAGTCATCAAGGATTCAGGAAAACACTTTGACATAGGTTTTCTTTAAGAACTTTACATTCTATGAGGTGTTTAAAATGTTACTGACGAATGAGATTTTTTGCCGCATATTTCGTTTACGCGCCATGTTGGATTTTCCTATATGACAAAAACAAGGGTTTTAAACAGCTGTGGTAATTGATTACTGCAGTGAACATTATCAGGGAATTGTGAACAATTAGCACCTTGACACTTTCAACACTTTAAATAGTCAAGTTCATTGAAGATGGCATAAAGCTATAGCTCCAACCTATTGACAGAGTATAATGAAAACTTACTGCCCCAGCAAGCTTAGAGTGATGTAAAAGTTTATAAATCCTTGACCACTTTAATCAAGTTATCCCTTTGGCAATGTTTGTTTTAAAACAAGTATTAGAATTAAAGAATTTAAAATAAAAGCAGTATCATGGTGTGTAAAAAAAAAAAAAAAAAAAAAAAATGCAAATATCTTTTAAAGCAGCTCGAGTTTAATTTATACATTTAAATTGTCAATAAACAATATCAGAATAAAGAAAGAAAACAATTTAAAAAAAAAAAAAAAAAAAAATGCATTTCCAAAATTTCAGAAAATGTTTTATTCAGATGTGCATGTCTGTAAATGACAAATTGTGAGGTAGGAAGAGAGAAAAAGGTTTTATACAAGAAATTTAAAAAGGCACCATGTGAAGTTTATACAATGGCAGCAGCAAATTGTACAATTAAAAATGTTCAAGATGGTTGCAGGTAGTCAGCCATATTGTTTGGTCCTGTTAGAACAGATGAAAGAAAGATGAGGTTAGGATGGTCAACCACTTCCTGCATCAAATGCACTCACATATGCACACATCCACAAGCACATTCACGTGACCATATTTATAATAGATGCAGGCCGACATGCAGAGATTTTTGTAACAGGGAGTCCAAGACAGGAAATCAGTTTGCTGCAGGACAGCATCCAAGTTCCAAATCATCAAAATAGTCATGCACCAAAGCTTTTTTGGCCGATATTCTCTTATTGGGGTTGTATGTAAATAAGGCCTGGAGAAAAAGAAAAAAGTGCCAAATTACAAAGTAATACAAGTTTTAAAATATTGTGTTATAGGCAGGAGACACTAACTAAACATCACAAGTTATCAGTAAGTGCATCACTAAAATTTTCACGTTACTTTGCACCTGTCACTGGCTTAAGAAAAGTGAATTTCAAAGTTTTAAGTAATTTAATACAACTATAAACTTGGGTAAGATACTTTAACATCTAGTTAAGAAATAAAACTAACCCTGAGTAAATCAAGTCCTGCGTCATCTAATCTGTGAACTGAAGTGTTTAGAGTGTCTTTTCTCCATTTGGGGAATAAATTTTTGTAGTCTGGTAATGAGGTTACTCCGGGCCAATTATCTTCATGAGGTGTGGACAAAATTCTGGAGGAGAGAAAAAAAAAAAAAAATTCATGAAAAAAAAAATCAAGGCATTCTAGCATCAAACCTTTCAACAAATTGCCTCAAATTCTGTTTAAATGATTTAAAAAAAAAAAAAAAAAAAAAAAAAAAAGTGGGGAAGGATATACACATCCCCACCACCACAAATGATCATTAAGAAGCAATATACTCATCTACTTACTTGAATATCCGGAAGATCTGGTCAATCTCTGAATCCCCATGGAACAAAGGCCGCTTCATTACCATTTCAGCAAAAATGCACCCGATGCTCCACATATCTAAAGCTGCTGTGTAACGTGCTTGACCAAGAAGGACTTCAGGTGCACGGTACCATAATGTTACAACCTGCAAAGTAAAGAGAAATAAAATGAGATCTTGAGAGTTTAAGTAAGCATCTCAAAAAAAAAAAAAAAAAAAAAAAAAAACCCCACACACACACCTTCCCATTGCTTAGTTACATGGTCTGTAACTTGTGCAGCAACAATCAAAAATTATTGGTTAAAAAAAAAAAAAAAAAAAAAAAAAAAAAAAATTTAAACAGGTCTTATTTCTTAGAACAATCAAAGCCTTTCTTTTTTTTTTTTTTTTAAACTGTTTTCAGCTTAATGAGATTTCTTTACAGCCAAGTTCTACATGAACTGCACATACAAGTTGCTTTTTTCTTTTTTTTTTAAATCTAAAATCGTAGTGACTTTATATATACTCCTGCCTATGAAGTCAATACAACTGAACCAGCATGTCATCTACCTGAACTCTGGTTATCAAAGGAATTTCTAGTGTCCTTAATTATACTTTTGATAGAATTAAGTGTAGCTTAATGCAAAGCAAACTTGTTCATTTGAATAAACGAATTAGACTTGGGGGGGGGGGGGCAGCTGGGGATTTTCTGAAAAGAAATTTTACTTCAGATATGTTGTGGTTTCAACTTTGTTTACTTAAGGGAAAAATAGAGTTAGCTTATGTGTTTGCCAAACCAAGCACTTTATTTTCTAGGGATCACGCCATGCCCAGCAAGAGTTCCTTGCAGATATATGCAAAGATGAATATGTTTTTATATTAGTTCAAGCTTACCTCATGAGTGTATGCTCTACATGGAATACCAAACGCTCTAGCCAAACCAAAATCTGCCAGTTTGATGGTGCCAGATTTATCAATAAGCAGATTCTGTGGTTTCAAATCACGATGGAGCACTCTACGCTGGTGGCAGAATTGAATTCCTTGAAGAATTTGGTGAAGGTAGCTCTATAAAAGAAAAAATGTAAATAGAACCCTGAAACTTCTCATAAGTTTTTTTTTTTTTTTTTTTTTAAAAACATGTTTCTAAAGAAGAGTGTTTGAGGTTTTGATGTCTGCTGTAATTTTATCTACTCCAATTATTTTAGCAACAGTTTTACAAGTTACTCATACAGTATAATACTTGACAAAAGTAAACTCACCTTTACTAATCTATCATCCAAGTATTTTCCATTTGGAATAGTGTCCATGTATTTTTTCAAGTCCATAGATAAAAATTCAAATACCAGGTACAACTTAGCCTCTTGCATCAAGACATCCTCAAGACTATTAAAAAAAAAAAAAAAAAAAAAAAAAAAAAAAAAATTAATTTTCAACTACTCAAAAATGAATTAACAGTAAGATACAGACTTAATGTTAAAGCCTTTTAATAATCAACCGCAGTTGAGATCAGAGCCAAAAGTTAAACCTTATCACTGAAAACCCCTACAATTCCAATAACTCATTTTTTGAATTAAAAACAGTAACAGATAAAAGCACTATATTCCTAGTAAGAGAAAACAGACATTTCATTGTCAGAACTTATAGATGTAAAGGCACACTTCCATACAAAAATGATAATGTAGCAAACATTTAAGTGTTAAAAACTTACACAGGTGTTGCAACAAACAGTAAGCAGCCATTATCAATGATCCAAGGAAGCACAATATTGCACCCTTTTCATCTCCACTAGCACTTATTTCCGATTATGGAAAGGATTACAAAATTGCCAGTAGGAATAAAAATACTGTTAATGATTGCAATTAATAAAAGTAAACCAGATGTTATAATTGCAGAGAGAAGCAAGAGATAGCAGATTGAGACATTCAAATGTCTTAGAAGAGGCACCTATGGTAAAGTGATGAAGAGCAAACTTGTCTCATTCTCTATTTAACAAATTCATCAAATTAACTATTTGGGTTCTGAATTCGAATAAACTATGCATACATTCAAATCATCCTCTGAAACAAGGAAAAAAAAAAATAAAAAAAATTTGGCATCCCTTGCTTTCTAACAAGTTCGCAATTAAACCGTCTGCAGCTTTGATACTCACCAAACAATGTTTGCATGTTGCAATTCCTTCAAGAAGGAAATTTCACGAATAGCTGTTGATGGAATGCCTTCCTCTTCACTTTCCAGACGAATCTTTTTCAAAGCAACATGACGATTTGTCTTTTTATGACGACCCTTATAAACAACACCATAAGTTCCTTAAGAACAAGGAGGAAGAGGAGGAAAAAAAAAAAAACAAAATTTTTTAATTTTACCATGTATATCATACCAATGATTTGCTCTCAATATAAATCTCAAAGCAAAGAAATGTAGATAAAGACAAAGCAAAATTATCCTGTAGGATAACTTAAATGTTGAGGCATTCTAAATTATTTTAATTCAAATCCTGCAAGTCTAATATAAAGCAGTTTTCAAAAGAAAATGTGACATTATCTACAGAAAACACTTTGGGATGGAGGTGGATGTTTGGTATAAACAATGATTAGGATCTGCAGGTACGTCAATATAGTTACATTTTATGCAGAGTAAGATTGTGAAGTGCAAAATTATATAAATTAATGAGTAAATACTAATTAAAGCAATATGTTCTGTGCAGGAAAAGAGTGAATGCTAACCTTCTCCAATTTTCTCAATTTTCAAGTAATCTTCCATATTTCCAGGCATCTGTAAAAAAAAAAAAAAAAAAAAAAAAAATTTATTTAAGTTTTTCAATTGTATACATGTGAAAGCTTTTTAACTGTAGGAAAAATAAGGGGAGTAGACTGAAGTCAGATTTTTGGATAAAACACCCTCCCCCCAAAAAAAAACAACAATCTGGATACAAGAAACTATTCTTTTCAAAACTTCAATCGTTATGCAAAAAAAAAAAAAAAAAAAAAAGCTAGAAAAATAAGTGCTCTACAAAACTAAAACTAAGTAGTCAAAAATTTTAAAGGCTTTTTAGCAAGTTTGGTATTTTAATTATGCTTATATAGCATAAAGCAGTTTTATAATTTTTATGCCTCTGTCTATTTTACTGACTGAATAGAAGTTTTTGTAAATTTGTATAACGAATGGCAAGTTTCTATACGATTAAACTCAACTTTACTCATTTTTGAAGAAGTTGAGTTTAATCGTATAGGAAACTATAAATTAGTCAAGATAACAGGTTTGTGATGAGTTTCACCATCAGTTAAGTTTTAAATGAACACCTGAAAAGGACCGGTACCCGATGTGGAAGGGGGGGGGGAGTAAAATGCGTGAGAATGAATGCACATAAAACTTCTCGAAACGTTTTAGTCCTATTCTAGGAAAAAATAAAAAAAACTAACACTGAAGTAAACAAAAATATTCCTTTGCAATTCAAATTCGGTAACTTTCCAATCAAGTGAGACACTGACGTTTTAAATAAATTTACAAGTAAATAAACTGAGTGAACATAATCTTTTATCTTGCTCAAATCGAGTACAATTCAAATCAAAGGGACCTACATTTTCCAGGATTTGAATTCAACTGAAATTAGTTTAAATGTTTATTTACAAGCAGAGCAAATATTTTTTTATAGCGATCGACCGAGTAGAAATGCCTTTTTTGAAAAGTTTTTGACACGAGGGACATAATGGAGGAAACGTGAGCTTTCGTTTAAAAAAAAAAAAAAAAAAAAAAAAATCAACTGTAACGCAAGATTAACAAGGATAAAATTTCTAACAAAAAAATTAAAGGCAGAAGAAAGAAATTGAATAGTGGAGTTTACATATTTAATAAAGCGAAGAGTTATGTTTAATTTAACTCACAATAAGATTTAGGAGACAATTTGACCGATGAATGGCAAAGCGAAAATTTAAATTTTCGCTAACGTTTTTTTTCCTTCGGAATTGACCCCAGGAAAAGAAAACTGTTTTAACGTCAAGTGTTAACTTTTAGTCTAAGTTTTTGATGCCTTTTAAACAGAAATTGTTAGCGGGGGTATATTTTGAGGTTAGTAACTAAACTTTAATTTCAGAAAGATTCAAGACATTATTTTTCAGAGACAACGTACTGGCCATGTATTTAAAAAGAAAATTGAAGTGCGATTGATTACATATCAATTTCGTATGAATCTAATTTAATATTTAATTTTTAATTAAATGAAATAATGACCCTTTTAACTTAAGTAATTTTTATTTATTTTTATTTTTTTTCAATCAAATAGGGATATAAAATTTTTAGATCACTGGGTCTCTTTATTTATTATCATAATGTATTAGATGCATTTCCGTAGTTATTCCTAATTTCAAGATATTTATCTAAAAAGGACGAGTTTTAAATCTTCGGAAAAAAAAAACTGGACTTTCAAGAAGTTTCAAAAAATTAATTTTTTTTCACTTTTACATACAACAGTATACATTCTCACTAAACGAATCATTTTCTTTAAATCAAAGTTAGGCCATGTAAGAAATAATGATAATTATTTTTCAAGAAAGTAGCGTAATGTATTAACAAAAAAAAAACTTACCTTGATTAAAGATTTAGAGCACGTCAACAAAAGCCTAGCAAATAGAAGATAAAACTCTGAAATGAGTTGTTAGCAACAAGAGGTTTTAGCGTTGGAAGGTTATAATTCGAATGGGCCAATCAGAAGCCACGAATTCTATCCAAGCCTCGGTTTCAATTCAGTACACATGCGGCCTTACGCTTATAAACAAGTTTTTTTTAAAAAAAATAAAAAAATAAAAAAAATATCCAGCAACGTTCGGCAGTGGAGGTTGGAAGCTAACAATCGGGATTTTAACACAAATTAATGCACAAGCTGCAACATTATGGATTATTAATTTACTGATAAACCTTTGCTAATATATAACTTAATAAACAAAAACTATAATTATTTCTAAGCTAATTAACTAAAAAATCATTTTACACTACAGTCAAACGAACTTTTTTTAAATAAATGTTTCTTCACTTTTTTCAAAGCAAAACATTGCCATTAAGTTGGTTATGTATCACAAAATGTGTTAGTGTTGTCATTTCTCTTACGCTTTAATCTTCAATCAATTTCAGTGTAAAAAAGTGATAATTTCCCTGTGTGTGTGTGTTTTTTTTTACAGAAAGAAAACGTGTACCTCAAACAGTCAAAAACACGAAAACAGCTAAAAAAAAATGTATATTGGATTTTTATCACATAAATTTTATTCTTTTTATTAAGAAAAAAATTTCCCTGATTTATGACTACGGTACTACGGCACGGTTAAGTACTACTTAAAAATAGACTGGTTTACGCATAAAATAAATAAAAACTTGAAAAGGGGATATTTTTTGTAAATTAGCCTTCTTTAATTTCCTTAGCCCGCGACACAAAAAAAACAGATGATTAATTTTTATGTAAATTTTCGATCTTCTCTTAAAAAGTGAACATATCCGTTTGTTCGTTAAGAGAAATTTTTTGTAACCCCCACCAAATTGTATGCTTTCCTCCGCAGAAACAACTAGAGTCCGATAACTAGGGATCGATTTTTGACACTGTATTGATTATTGCTTGAATAAACTAAAAACAGAAACCCCTTCTAAATCGATAACAAATCAATATATTTTATTGCGACAAAAATGTAGCGGCCAAGGAACTTATAAAAAATCCTACTCTTCCCTTCTTACATTTCCCTATTTTTTGTGGAACAGTCAATTTAATCATTTAACTCCAAACAAGGCAATAAAGCCACTAAGAAGCAAGGGGTTACTCACTGTGAAAGAATATGAGAAAAAGAAAACATTTATCAAGGAGAGAGAACACTAACGATTGACATTGCACTTATTGTTAATGTTAAAGATCAAAGTTGACTGGAAAGCAAGAAGTCGAGAGAAAAATTCACAATCGTTAACATTTATTTCAAGAATATGAAATAAAATCTGAATAAATTGATTGAACAACTGGGCCGTGTTATATAGATTATTTGTTTGTTTGTGATGTTGCGGTTATGGGCAGGGTTAGGCCCAGTTCAAATTCTGCACGAGGTTGTCGTGTTCAGTTTTTGGGAAACGCCTGAATTCATTTCTTCTTTCCCTCACACACACTACACACCAGGTAAAGTCAAGAGGCTGACTGCTCTCTTAGTCTTGGTAGGAACTCCAACCAATCTAAGGACAAATCTGAATTCAAAACTGTGGAGAAGGCAAGTAAACCAATCTCTCTTAAAACTTACTACCTTTCCATCATAAATTCACAATTTACCAAAATTAAAGAAAAGGAAGTTGTGGAGAGCTTTTTAGTCCCTTACATTCTAAAAGTCACGTCATAGTTTGATTTGTTAGGAAAAGAAAAAATTGAAGAGGGGTGGTCGAATATCCTGTAAAAAAATAAAATAAAAGCACAAATCTTCTTACTAGCCTGCTTTTAAAAACTGACTAAATATTTGTATGCGGATGCCTGTGTTATTGTTTATCGTGCTACACATCATTCTGTTTAGTTTGTTTGTTATTGGTGGTTTTTTCGTTCTTTTTTGTTTGTTTTTTTTTTCATTTAAAATACTTTTCTTAAATTTTAATAATTGAAGAAAAAAATCCTCTCATGGGAAAAAATTGTAACTAAATTCAGGACTGGATTTAGATCAAGATTCTGGATTATCTGTCCATGATTGGAATTTACTTTTCACGCAAAAAATTGTAGCTCGGTGTCTATTCTCCTCACCTCACCGCAAAATACTGCTCAAGGCTTTTAACGTGAGAACCCGTATACACATTTGCCAGTCAGATGGAAAAAATAATAACCAGTTCCAGCGACATATTGTTGAAGATATCAAGGTGTGTTCACAGGCTCTACCTTGGTAGTGCGTTATGGGGAGGTGCTGTCTGGAAGACGGATCCCAGGAACTAGGTAACTCTAGGTAGTTGGAGAATACACACACATCACTAATTTTAACAACGAGTGGCTTGCAGCGTTCGAAGTTTCGACCCTAGAAAATGTGAACCTTCGAATGATGATTTTCAAAGTAGGCCCTCCCGATTTGCTTGAAAGATTGATGCAGTGTAAAAAAAAATCTTCCTCCCACCATAGACCTGTGTTAGTCTCCACTAATATTAATAAATAATTAAATTAGTGAATAACTTAAAAATCGATTTTTTACTTTTTTGCATCTATATTGCTTTGGTCAAATTTGCCCATGCAGAATTGTCCCAATGTTGCCTTTGTTAAAAAAAATAAAATAAAAAAAGGATAAAAAATGGTTTCAGAAATAGAAAAATGAAAGTTTTGTTTTAAAAATCCAAAATACTTCTTTCTTTATTTACAATTCATATAATATATTTAAATATAAATATTTCATTCATTTTTTGTTTGTTTGTTTTGTTTTCAATTCTGAAAAAAACGATTGTTTTTAATTTTTTTATGTGAACATTCAGCAAAAAAATGTTTGTTTGGCTTTGGTATCAAGCTGCGTGCTCTGTTGACGGAAGTACAATATATTGTCTGCCTTATTGACTCTATTCCTCCCATTTCTTCCCACATGAGAATTTAAAGTGGTAAGCTTTAAGCAGAAGTCAACAAACTATGATGCTCCAAGTAATCAATCGCTACACTTTGTAAACATTGTTTCCTGAACAGAAAGAATGGACACTTCAACGCCTGTGGATAATGCTCTTGATAGCAGTAATAAAAGTGAAGATAGTGCATCTGAAAATAATGCCATTTCTTGCCAAGATGAAGAATTAATGCAGTTTGAGGTGAACGATGAAGAGGAGGAAGAAGATGATGATGATGATGATGATGATGCTGGTGGTGGTGAAGATTCTGAAGATGAAGATTCCGATAATGAAAAATATGAAGAGGATCTTTTATTGGCTTTGGGTAAGTAGCAGACTACATTTTCCATTCATTTTTTTTTTTTTGTGTGTGTGTGTTGTTTATTTGCTTGCTATATTCATTATTATTTTTTTAAATCTTCTTCATGCGTAAAAAATATAACCTACTTTAAATTAGAAGTTTTGAATTTTATTTTAAATCTTTTCGTGTTACAAAAATCCTTTTTATGTGGCCTAAGGTAAACTTTTAGTTCTTTTAGTAATTACAAAAACAAAAACTTACATAGCCTGAAACCAAAACATAACCGGTCTGGGTTTCTTCATTAGCAATTTTCTCGAACAAAAAATGGCGATTTATTTATTTTAATTTTGTCTGTCTTAAATGACAATAGAGTTTAAGTCGATTTTCAATAAAATCTTTAGTTTAATAAATTGAAAAAAAAAGTGTCTGGAAAACAAGTTCTGGGTTTCTGAAGTGTGAAAGTTACTTGGATTATTAAAAAAAAATCTTAAATTTGTGTTTAACAAAATGTTATTTTTGTAAACACCATGAATGCCTATATGAGTAATATTCGCTCAGTTGTAAAATTTTGTAATTGTAAAAAATGTGTCCCGTAACATTGAAATAAAAAGTGAATATTACAAACAAGAAAAAAACCGAGACGAAAACATGAGAATTTATTTTAATTTAGTTTAATTTAAATTGTTTAAACAGTCTCTAAAATTTGCATTTTTTATGAAGTGAGTCACCAAAAAGCAAACACGAAAATAAAATATAGATTTTAAATGAACTTTTAAATTATTTAAAAAAAATAAAGCCGTGAAATTAGTAAAAAAAATAAACTCTGTCCGTGAATTAAAAATAAAAAGTGTTGTTTTTTTTTAAAAACGTGTTCACGTAATTGTTTTCTAGTTTCGCTTTGAAAAAGAGCTTTTATTCTTTTTCTTTCCACTTAAAAATGGCAATCTTTATTTTTATTTGTTTTTTTTAAAAAGTAAAACAGAAGTGTCATTTTTATTTTCATATACTTTTTAAAAGTTTTTGAATTCATTGTTTAAAAAAGAAAATACAATTTTCTAGAATTAGAGAAATATTATGTAAAAAAAATATTTCCAGTATTTTCTTTTATTTTCCTTTTTTTATTATATAAAAAAAAAGTAAGTCTAATTAATTAACACTTTGTTTGGAGTGAAACAAGTTAAGAAGAGTATGTTGCTGAACTTTACAACTTCTTCCCCCAATTTTTTTTTTCCTTTTTTAGTTCTATCCCCTTTTTGTGAGTCAGTAAAACTAAAAAAAGCCATAGGATTTCGTTTGAAACAAACTAGAGAATTTTTTTTTAAGTATTACACTCTTTAAAGATTGTTCACAGTGAAAGAAATTTGCTAAAAAAAAAAATTTTTTTTCCCAACAGGAAACGCTCTTTGAATTTATTTTTTTTTTTTACACGCGTTCTTCTTTCTTTCAGTCAGTCAGTTATGTGATCATGTATCATTCGATACATGACTGACGAGGCAGATTTTTTTTCCCGCAGTAGGTTGCCATTTCTTTCTGCGGTAGACCAGTTGCCATCCAAGGCTATAGAACCCGATCTGTCTTGCTGGGGAGGAGAGGATTCATACCTTTCCCAAGGGTATTAACACATAAGTGTATGTAATGGATTTGTTATGCATGTCCTTAGCACATATACTTTTTGTATTATTAATGATTCAAGAAAACAACAAAACTCCAAATGTGAATCAACAAGTATATATTGAAATAACATACAAGAACAAAATATATAATAATTTGTATTCAATGTATAGATTAAGGGAAAAGAAGTTGCTTCTCTTTTACTGTATTTTGATTTGTAATTGATTGTTCGAAAGTTCTCTTGAGAGAGAAATGCTCAGGAATCAATGTTAGAATAAGTCTGCTGTTAGATAACACAAGAATACAATTGATCAGAAAGTGTGTGGTGTTAGAGAAATCAACAGTCCTGGTTGATTTAACTTGGCTGAGTCACAGAGAGATATGTATATATGTATTACAAAATTCTGTGTCTGCCTTTGAAATGTTGTGAGTAAAGTCATAGGTTTGTGTTGACAGGCGAAATTTGCTGGACTCTACTGGCGGCTTCTGAAAAAGTCGCCTCTTTTAAGGCTACAGATTGGCTCCCAGCAAAACTGTGGGAAAAGTTGATTTTGCACTAAAATGTGATTGGTTAAAAATTGACCAATTGCTAAATTTGTACTAATGAAGCAAGTTCAAAACCAAAAAATATTCAAAGTAACAACTGTGATGGCTAAATTGTCCTATAGAAAAGCAGTATTGATTTATTAGCCAATTGCAGACAAATAAAATGTGGGTGGGGAAAAACAGCAGTTGCTACAGATTCGACTGGACTTCGAACTCGGATCTCCGATCCCTCAATCCAGGCCGTTATCCTCTATGTTCTTTCAGTAAACTCAAAAAAAGAAAAGGGTTCATATTCACAGATTTAAAATTTTTCTTGTAAAAACAAAAAAAAAATGTGGCGTACATGCATTCATATGACATTTTTTAGTAACAGAATCAAAAATATTTAAACAATTTACTCACATTTGGTTGTCTGCTTAACAAGCCTTCTTTTTTAAAACAGACATCACTAAATGTGCAAAATTAAAATATGTTCTATGAAAATTTGTGATGTCTGTTAAAAAAATGTCTTATTAAGCAGACAACCAAATCTTAGTAAATTGTTTGAATATTTTTGTTCTGTTGTTACTGTAACAAAAAAGTCGTGGAATAATATTGCATATTCCCCTTTTCTTTTTCTCTTTTATAATAAAAATTTTAAATCTGTGAACCCTTTTTTCTTCCTTGAGTTTGAACGCGTCAAAAAAAAAAAAAAAAAAAGACGGTTTCCTATTCCTAGAAAAAAAGTTTTTTCTTACAAATTTCTTTCATTAATTTCCCACATTCTTCTTCACTAATATTGCTGCATTATGATTGAAGTGAGTATAAATGTTGTAATTTTTTCATTAAAAGATTAAGGATTAGGTCGTAAAATAATGAATAATTTGAATATTTAAAAAAAAAACAAAGGGTAAATTAATTTTTTCCCGAGTTTTTATAATTTTAAAGGATGAATACACTACCTTATTTTTCTCTATGTTCTAACTAAAAAATAGAATCGTGGTTCCAAGATAAGTAAAACTAATGGAAATATTTTTTAATCAGTGTCAGAATCATTTTATTTGCTATTATAAATTAGGTACTTCGACTAATTGTGAATGGTTAACAAGCTTGTTTCAGTTAAATAAATCAATTACAACTGAGTAATGAGTTTGAGTTTCACAGAGCGCTTCAAAATTCCGGACTTGTGCCACATCCAAGCCATGCTTAGTAAATGACTATACGCTGTTGACAAATTTGGTTTCAAATGTGAAGCCCTCTTATAGATTTCTCTGCCTTGCATTTGGGATGCCTTATTAGAATTTAATTTGAGAACCACGCCTACAATATTTTACAAGTTCACATTCTAGCCTTCTAATCCTTACCCCAACCTTTTTTTCCCTGCTTTCATACCCTGTACCCAAAGCCTTGATTCTTATCAGAGATAAGAACATATTTTTTGACAAACAAGAAGGTTGAAAAATATAAAAAAGAATTTGATCACCATTACTCTGACCATGGTGCCATAAAGTTTGGGGACAAAGCTCACAACTTGTCAGACCCTTGATTCCAAAAAGCAGCTCCCAAAGTCTTGAAATGGCCAGGAAATTTGTAGAGCAATTTTGGAGGGGAAAGTCTCCAATATTTTCTGAGCCTCCTAATCTCCATAAATACGAATAATTTACACCTGTTTGGTAGTGAGTATTCAACAACCGTCCATGATAACATGAGGTCAGCGACAGAACACCAGTCATCTTCAGAGTCAGCTTCAAAAAAGATCTACCTGCTGGACTGTAAAGACAGAATGTCATCCCACTACGAAAAACCAATTGAGATCTGCCTCCTTGCAACTAGAAGATTTCTGTCACTCCCTACAAACTCCCTCAACTACAAAATTCATATCTTCCAAGAGTTTCCTTCTCTACAAGATCTCTGAAGAAATCTGTGAGTGTTTTAACCCTTCAACAATCTACTTGCTTAAAGAACTTTTTAGGCGCTCAAAGGCATATTTTGAGCAAGCCCTTTTTTCTTCTTTTTTAAACATTTTTTTTTTTTTTTAAAGTTAACAGAATTTTCTTCTCTCCTTCTTTCTCTTGTAATTGTATATCCTTTTACCCTTTTTTTTCTTGTGCATGTAAATAAACATTTTTTTCTTTTATTATTACACACCTAACAGGAGTTTGAGTCTTTATTCTTCCACCTATAAAGAGAGAATTGTCCGCTCTGATCTCTCAAGCCATTGTTGCTTTTTTTTCAATTTTGTCACATTTTTAACCTCAACCCTTTCATGTGTGAAAGCTTGGGAAAATTTCCCACAGCCACAGAAATCTGATCCTAAGCTAGAAATATACATTGTCTGAGTAGAAAAAATACTGAGGTGCAAAATAGTGTAAACAGTCACTAGCATAGAAAATGGAATTTGCAAAGTGAATTTGAATTCTGATTGAAACTCTTCATTTTGTAGTGATGTCTTTTAGTAAAGCATGAATCATTGTGCTCTATTCCACTGCCAGATATTGTGACAAAATCAGTGGTTGACCAAGAAAAAAGTGGATGATTGAGAAAAAAATGGTCAAACTACTCATAAATGCCTGACATCTCCCTGCTTTAGAAGCTGAAACCTGTTACCTTCAAAGTCAACCTTGATAGGGTTTAATAAGTTGTAAATAAAAGAAAGTTCTTGATATATTTTTTTTTAAGTTTTAATTTATGTTGATAATATTAGGTTGATGGAAAAGGTCACAGTATTTTAACAAAATCTTTTATTCATTTATAAATTAGCAAATACTTTTTGTCATTACACCATCATGTCTATTTCAGGGATACCAAATTCCAGATTACCTCAAGAATTTACATCTATTCATATAAAATTACCTGAAATAGATTGTTATTTATATAGCTGTGAACATAGAAATAGGAACTTTGAGATCTGAATTGTATTACAATTTTTCTACAGATGCACTCTTCATTATGGGACAGTGAGCAAGACAAGCAAATTGTACAAAACTGCAGCTATAGAAAGATACATACATACATACATACATACATACATATAACCATGTTTTTTTTTGTTTTGTTTATTTTTTTAAGACCGGTCCTGCCTGACAAAGGATTTGTCATAATGATTTGAAACAAGTTTTTACAAGGCCAGTTGCTCTTGCAGACACTCAACTCAGACACTCACAGTAGACAAAGTACACAATGTTTTTATCAAAATTCCATCTCTAGGAAGGTTACCATTCAGGGTTTGATATCTGACATATATACATACATATATACACACCGTATATACTCGCATACCATGTGACTTTTGAAGACCTGATTTTGAAGCTAATTTTAAGGGGGTTGCATCATACACAAGATATAAAATTAGCCTATGTACTGCTGGCCCTGGCTATGCTGTTGACCAAACAATATATCTATTTACTGTAGTCAAATTAGCTTCAAAATTAGGTCTTCATGTCACATGATAAGTGAGTATATATGATATATATTAGTGAATATACATAACCTCAAAAATCAATAGCATGACTCGGAGTTTCATGCAGTTCATGATATATATACATAATTATTTATCCACTGCCTCACGCAGCAAAATGTGGCACAAGGCCAAGTTTAAAGTGGGGTATCCGAGCCCATAGACTCGGGCAAAAATTCCCTACAGACCACGTAAAAACAGTCAGTTTCCTGAGATGAGACTCCACCCCTTGGCAGAGCCTCGTCTGGGGATACCCTCTGACATAAGCCATAAAATATATATATATATATATATATATATATATATATATATATATATATGTTGGCCGTTGGCTTCTATAAGAAGCTCATTAGGTGTTTTGACAGGTCTTTTATTTCATCCTGTGTATTGACATGCCAACTACCCACCCATGTGGCAGGTTTTACTGGGTTACATATTACCAGTAACATGCCTAAGCCTGTCCTGACAATATAAAGTGAAGAATTTTAAAAAATTAAATCAATTTAATTTTTTGGCACCTGACATTTTTTAAGAGGGATGGTCTTTATGTTCCCTGTTATAGACCAGGACATTTGTACACCTGGTCCAACCTAGAGTAATCTGAAATTCTTATAGTATTGCAGTGAAAACCATCTAACTGTTGCATCATCAAAATGTACTTAATATAAAATTATTGAATTAAATTTTAAATATTCTGTATTTCAGATTTATTGTTTTGTGTTCAAGAATATAAATCTATGTAATAAATGCAAATGTCACTGTGTCACAAATTTCAACTTGGCTCCTAGATCCTGTAGCCCAACATATTATACCATTTTTGGAATCAGGCTGATTCCATGAGAAAATTAAAAACATTTTGGATTGCATCCAAACCCGAAGTCCTGGAATTTTCGATTCCCAAGTTTTCATTACTGCGATTGTTTTCAGGGATTTTTTTTTTACAATAACAATTTTTATAACTTGGAAATAAATTTGAGAATAATCAAAATTAATTGTGAAATCCAGCAAAAATCACCCATGAAATAAAAATAATTGTTTGTATGGACAGTAAGGACAAACATACAACAAATTGTTGTTAAATTAAGTGACGGTAGAAGAATTATCATTGAACTTTTAAAAGGTAAGCTTAAATATTAATGCAATATTTAAATGCAGTGATCAATTTTGAGTTCTTCTGTAGTTTGTTGTTGGCTATCATATCTACTCCTCCCTACCTATTGTGATGAAGGCCCAATCAAGAGCCCTCCTCAGGAGCTACTTTAAATGCTTTTAAGTTTGTTTTAAACAGCCTGGATGCATCTTTTGTCAAAAAAAAATCACTCATAACTATTTTTTATTCATTTGTTTTTTAAGGTAATGAAAAAGGATTTTATTAACTTTTAATTTTTGTCTGTCATTAAGAAAACAAATATAAACTTAACAAAAATGTTTTTCTGTTTTTTAGGTGAGGGTTATTCTGAAGAACGAAATGATTTACCTGATACTTCCAATCAGGCAAATGCTACTCCTTCAAAGTTCAATCTGCCATTTCTCAAAAAATCACAGGATAATGTAAGTATTTCTGTATTTGTATAACTTCGCTAGCAGTGAGTACACTGTATACTCTTCTTAATAGTTGTTTTAAAATAACATTTACATTATTTAATTTTCAAAATTATAGATATTTCATTTTGTTGCTGATGATTTTTTTTTTAACATTTAGTTTATTCTACAGGCTAAAACAACTCACTTGAGATGTAGTGAGAAAAGTAATTTTTACAATTAAATGTTTTTGTGCTTTTTTTCTGGTGGAAATTCTTGCAAAAATCAAATAATTATCAAATTTTAATGAAACTTTCAGGACTTATTCACAAATGAATGAATTTATTTTTTAAATTATTTTTTTTTTTTTTTTACATTTGTTAACTCCCCACCCCTTAATTTCATAAAATTGTCTAGAATTTAAGATTGATAACAAAATGTATTTTATAGTTAAAAGCAGAACACCTTGGACAATGTAAATGATCAATTTTTTTCCCCAAACTATTACCAAGTTTCCTAAAATCTGCATCAAATTGTAAAATAAAACTATCTAATTATTTAATTAGATAAGCTTTTAATTGCTTCTATAAATAATATATATTAAGGACATAGTCTGAAGAAAAAAGAGTTTTCAATGAATAATGAATTTTTACATGAATTGTTTGCATTTTTCTCTTTTTAATTATAAAGTTTCAAAAATGTTTTAAAATTCTTCTAAACATTGCTAAAGTTAGGTTATTATATTATTAAGTGACGACTATATTTACTTAGCAAAAATTGAAAAGCTTGATACACATCATTCCACCAAAAAATTTTTACAATAATTAAAAAATTTTTTTTTTGTGCACTTAAATGTTTTTTTTTTTTTTTTTTTAAAGTATGGTGTTTCATATGTTACATCATTGTTAGAAAGTCACGATTTTCAAGGATGGTCCCCCTTACGCTCATAAACCTTTTAGTTTTATTTAGTTAAGAAAAATAATTTGTTCTGATTTTTTTTAAGTTTCTTTATTCTTTTTTGTGAGTTACATTTTGATAAAAAAATATTTGAAAGGTGACCCTTTATTTCATTTTAAACCTAATGTTTAGTTTAATTATTTTTATACTTTATTTCATTTACATTTGAAATTATTTTTCTTTTCTCATTTTATTTTTAATTAATTCTCTACTAATTTTTAAAAATGAATTTAAAAAACAAATTGAAGAAGTTTTCTTGAAGCTTTCATTTTAGCTTTAATTGAAAGTTAAATGATTAAAAAATAAGTTTTTACTATTTCCAGTAAGCAATAAAAAATCTTTTTAAAAATTTTGTAAAATACAATATATTTTTCTGAAACATTGAGGAAAATTAGCAAATTTAAAGTTAAATTAATATGATTTGAAACAAAAAAAATTAAAATGTGTCCACTGCTGATGCAAAAAAAAAAATTACCCATATTTCAAACATGGTAGAAAAGATTAAAAAAATAAGAGGTAATTCAATAATTTATGAAATATTAATTTAAGAAGTTTTTATATTATTCTAAATTTTATTATATTTTCAGAAAGCATGCCTGCTTCAATTGTGTTTTTTCTTTTTTTTGGTGTGGGGCCGGTGTATTGGCTAAAAATCATTCTAATTTCTATTTGAAATAATCCTCAGTATTTTGCTTTCTGGAATTAGAAAATTTATTCGCTTTCAGTTGAGACTAAAAAGAAAACTTAAAGAAAGATTTTTCATTTATGAAAATACATTTAAACCTTATGTATACTGAATTTTTGGAGGTACCTACTTTTTAGCATGATCATGAAACTGTTAAGATTTGTAAAGGAAGAGCACACTAAAAAGATAATTACATTTTCCAAACTGAATGAATTTGTAAGAATTTTGTCAAACCCAAACATGCATAAAGATGCTGCAATGATCAAGCGTGGGTTTCTGGCAGATAGGGTTATGCAAAATTTATCTGAAAAAGGAAATCTGTCAACAAAAGATCTGTTTGCATGTAGAATTGCAAGAAAGACAATGTTCATCACAGTCATTGAGAAACTTCTGGCAAAGTCTTCTCTAAGATACCCTCATATAAGGTCACTTGCATGGTTGAACACTGGATCCATTTTTAAAAAGAAATCTGCCACAGAAGATGGTCTAAAAAGATATCATTGCCACATGATTGCACATTCCTATGACTAAGGCTTTTCTCTGTAGCACTTCTGATGCCAGAACAGCATACAACCAATACCTTGAGACTGATAAGAAAAAAAATGCAGGAAGAAGCAACTGCACAAAAACGGAAATCTGTGCTTATTTAAATTGAAGAACTGAAGACCAAAAAGCACAAGCTTGAAAGTTGCACCCAAGATTTGCTCAACTGACAGCTATGCAGAAAAAGCTAAGCAGACTCAGAACTTCACACTTATCACAAAGTCCAATGCCATACAAAGGACAAGTCCATAGATTTATCAAAATTGGAAGATGAGCTGAATGATAAACTAGATATAACTGAAAAAATGTTAACAACATTGTATTCTGTGTCATGTGTAATGAAAGCCATGAGTAGTAGGGGTAGCTAAGATATGTAGTCTTTTTGTGAAAATTTCTATTTGTAGTTCTGTTCATTAAAACCATTATACTTAACTTTACGGGAAATGTGCAGCAATCAAGATTTTCTGTGACATTCACAAATCATGAGTAGTCTATGTAGCTGAAATGTTTAGCAGTAAGAATTAAAGTGTGTAATTCAAATTTTTCAAGTGTAGTACAACTCCAAACTGTGTAGAATGCTACACAAGATGTGTAACAAAACCAGGTCTGCTTTCAGTTGTGTTTTAGCCTTAAACACTTTGATTTCTTCACTGCTTTCAACTGATCCATATGACATGAATTATTGGTACCAGCTGCAGCTTTTCTTTGAACGTTATCTGTCAAACTGTTAAAAGATAAATCACAAAGTTTGTGTTTTTGAAATTCACTTGTGTGTGTGTATACACACATCAGTTTCAGTCCTTGAAAATTCTTAACATAGTCTTGGAACTTTTTTTACACAGATCTGCAAGAACCCCGTTAAAATATATAATTTTAGGTATGTTATATTTATGGGTTAAACTACTGAATATCTGGGATAGATCATATATAAATATAAAAGTGAACACTGAGTTTAACATCCAGTGGCAAGAGTCTGTTTAATGCTTAAACACAATCTTCAGACCTGAAGATTGCATGTAAGCAAGTTAAAATTTTGTTGTGTGTGTGTGTGTGTGTATATATATATATATATATATATATAGTTTTCAATCTGTGCCTGATACTTGCCACATGACCATGACCAAACAGTGAGGAATAAATGTATATTTATTATTAGCATAAAGTTTAGCTGTTATTTTGCATGAAGTACTGTTTTATTGCCACTAGTACTCACTGTGCACTATTGTGTGTGTGTGTGTGTGTATTCTCACGTGGAATGTATCTGTAGAACAAACAAAATGAATAAAAAAGACGAGTCGATTCATTTCATTGATTGACGGACTTTATCAAGGCAAATTTACCTTGATAAAGTCTGTCAGATGATGAAACATGTCAAGTAAGACTAAGTGTAGTTTTCTTGTCTTTTTTATTTATTTATATATATATATATATATATATATATAATATGGTGTATTTAAGCAGCAAGAATTCTTTCAAACAAGTTTTTATTGAATCATTTCAATTGATTTCTCTTTCTATGAGAGAATGTAAAAGTTTTGTTGTGTGTTAGTGTGTGTATATATGTGTGTTTTTTATATATATATATATATATATATATAAAAACACATATATATATATATATATATATATATATATATATATATATATAAAAAAAGAGGTTATAGTGGTTCCAACGAGAGAAAAGTGTGTATATTAAAAAGAAGAGAGGTGCCGTAAACGTTTTTGGTTGTAATGTGGATTTTTTAATTTTTTTTTTAAATATGCTTTATTTTCCATGTGTGTGTGCATGTAATGTACTGGGAAATATGAATAAATATCATCTTTTCCACAGAAATATTCTAATATTCTTTTTTTTTTTTTTTTTTTTTTTTCAAACCAACACTTACTAATGTTTTGGTTTTGTACTTCAGATGTGTATGTATTTTATCACATTTATTTTTTTTATTTTTTATTTTTTTAGAGCTTGTGTTTGCCTGCTGACTTAGACATTCTTAACTTGAACACACAACTCTCAAAGTGGGCTGTACCTGGAACTCCTGATAATACCAATACCAATGCCAGCACCTGTTTATTCTTGAACAACATCTACCAGACCTTGTTGGTGGAAAATCTTACAAAATTACGACAGAAACTAGCTGAAAATCAAGAAAAACAGGTAAGCATTTGGGCAGAGAGGAATTAAAGAAAACAATCATTAAAGAATGAAATATAATTTTAACTCCTTTTTCTTTCTCTAGGAAATAATAGATCAAAGAAAAGTCATAAATGTTTATGTCAGGAATTAAACCACTTATATAAAGTTCATGTGCGTGTTTAGGAATACAGAATGCTTCAGAAATCTTTGATGCTTTTTCTTGCACAGTTACACACTACATTGGAAATTTGTTCCTACTTACTTCCCTTACTGAACAATTACAAGGTGGACACCAGGAAAAGAATTTGCCTGTTAACATTTATCCTCTTTTATATTTGCCTATAGCACAAACAGGATTCTCCTTCTTCCATACACCATCTCTTCAGCACAAGAGTGAGCATGGCTCTCTACAACTTCCTATCCTTGATAGTAATGTTTTTCTACTTATATAGGTTACTAGCTGTTTTCATCTGCCCATCTTGCCTGTGCATGCCAAATTCTCCAAAACCTCTTTCCTCATTATGTATCCCAGAAATTTAAACTTTCTCTTTTTAACCATCCTTTTTGTTTCCATTTTCCTTAATTTCCTTGTTCACATGTTCCATTTGTAGTATTCTCAGCATCCTTCTGTAGAACTACATTTCTGTTTTAAGTCTCCTCCATAGCTGTGACAAAATTGTCTAGCATTAACTGCCATATAGGAGGATTGATATTAGATAGCAGTTTAGCATACATCTTAAACAAAATTTGTTGTTATATAGTGTTTATGTATACATATCTTATTTGTTTTTGTGAATCTATGTTGAACAATGATAAAGAGATGCTTCTATATAGATTATTGAATTTTAAAGTATTTGAAAATCTAGTTAATAACAAGAAACAAATTCCATAGCATTCAATACAAATTTACTTTCAGAAATTAAAGTTTGTTAGGTGTGTGCAAGAATTTCCAGCAATAAACTAGTTTTCAATTTTGTAGTCGGTCTAATTTTAAAAAAGTGAGCCGTTAATTTTTGCACACACCTAATCTTATCTTATTTATTATAAAACGCAAGTTGTGTGTGTGTGTGTCTGTAACGTTTATATGTTGGATCGAATTTCCTACATTTTTTAGCCGATTTCAACAAAACTTCACAGGACTAAAATTAAAATTACCTTGTGGTAAACTCACGCGTGCGTAAAACGTAGATGGAATTACTGTATTATTTCCATAACTCATAACGATTGTAAACAATGTTTTTGTTTGAATTTGGGTTTGACCAATTCGTAAAAAAAAAAAAAAACTAATTAAGACATGCGTGTCCGTCAACCTTAAACAATAATCTTTGTCAATTTTATTTTTCAGTCTTTATGATCGTCCATACTTGATCTATCTCTTACTATTACATCCCCGGGCAACGCCGGGCTCTACTGCTAGTAGTTAATAACATTGGAAGGTATGAATCCATCACTTCTCCCCACCAGCTATTGATTAATAGGATGGAGTATGCTCTTTAGCTTTGGTTGGCAACTAGTCTAGGAGAAGGTCAGCTCTGAATTCAAAATTGGTTGTGTGTGCTGCTGGCAACTCCATCTTGTAAAAACCTACTTGCGAAGGAAACCACAGTAACAGTACCTAGCATGGTGAAGCTGTGAACCAGGGTTACTATATATATATATATAAATATATATATCGAAAGAGAGAGAAAGGAGTGGATACTTGTATTTGAGTAGATGGTTTGTTTTATTTATTAAGCAGTATATTTATTTTCATCTACTAGCTTGGATATTCATAAAATCTTATTAAACAAAAATATGCTAGAGAGGGCATATTTTTCTCTAATAAGATTTCACTTTATTTTATTTTTTATTTATAAATTTAAAAAGATTTACTAAATTTTTTAAAATATGTGTACCAACTATAGGAAAATCATTATTTATAATTTTTATAAAATTCGAATTGATTGACAATTAACCAATGTTTTGCCAACTACTTCAATAAATGATATAATAAACAGTGTTTATTATTTTTGTTATCAATTCTCAAGATCAAAGAAAATGTATAAATTCACTTTTATATGTTTAGGTTTTATTACAATTCTAATAATCATTTTTAAAAGAAAAGTGTGGTTACTTCTACACAAAGTTTCACCACCATAATCAAATCAGATGTGTGAAAATCTATCAGTTCAGTGATTTGGTACTCTCTATGGTTTCAGAGATCTGCAGGATTGTCTTGGAATATATCTCTTGTAAATGTGAGGACTACTATATTCGACTTTTCAATGAGGGGGAGACAAAAACAAGACCACATACACGACAATGAGTGAAGGTCATCTCTTTCACCTTTTTGTTCTTGCTGTTTATACAGTGTTCCATTAAATCAGAGAGTTGTATCTTTTGTCAGCTACTTCCTTCTGCTATTTTTCATCCAGCTTCCACTTCTTCTTGTGCCAAGTCTCTTCAGGATGTGTGCGGTCATGGCTCTCCACAACTTTCTATTCTTTGTAGCTCTTAGTAATGTGCTGATTTTTTTTACTATTCCTCGCACTCTCCATTCTACCATCCATTCACATAAACTCATCAGGTAGGTGGCCTATTACCTCTCCTTGTCCCTTTTATTTTTGATAACCCTGTGTGTGTCAAATTTTCTGAGCCCTCCTTCCTCATTACATTGTTGTTAACACACTTCATCCATGATATTTCCAACATCTTTCTGTAGAACCATATTTCTGTTAACTTCAGTCTTCTCTTCTTTTTTAGTTAGTAACCAGAATTAGTGTCTTACAAATTACTTCCGCCCTGTCTACTGGAGTTTCAGAATACGCTAACTGCACCTTTGCAGAGTGGTAGGATCCCCCTTAATAAGGTCTTGGAATAGATCTCTTGTAGATGTGAGGACTACTATATTCAGGCTCTGTCAGAGGGAGACAAAAACAAGACCTGGGTATGATGATAAACTACATCTGGCAGCTAGGAACAACCTATTAATTGCTTTTGTTCCCAGGTCCACACTGACTCAGGGTGGTAGAAACTGTTAGGGTCCCAGTTAGGGGAAAATAGGTAGTTATGCATTGAGGACAGAACACTATGAAAGTATAAAAATAGATTTTTATAATAAAAATACCAGCAATACATTTTTTTGAGAAAAAATATTACCAGCAATAGATTTGACTCTTGACAAAAATCCTCTCTACAAAAATACATTGATGAAACCTGATCTACAAACTGATTTCTTACAAAGAATACATATTCATACGAACATATCCTAAAAATCTTGTTGGCATTATTGTAAAATAAACCTAATCCTAAACTTAAACAAATTACTTCCTTCCTGACTTTTTTATATATATTTCCACTATGCATTTAGAGATTCTTGATAAAATCTAAAGAATCAGCAATGTTATTGGTCCTGACCTGGCATTTTGTCTTCAGTCACTTTCTCTACTGATGTAACATCACTTTCCTGTGCCTTTTCTATAAATATTCTCATGGTATTTGTTCTGATGAGCTTTTCTCTTTGGTACCTCTTTGGGGAGAGTTCTTTTTTCGACTGTGTACGACCGGTGTTTGACGCCAGACGCATTTGCGAGTTTTTTGCGAACAATTTTTGATTTCAACCCTTTGTCCACGTTAAGTTCTTTTTATTTTATTTTACGTTCAGTTTATTGACTTTTTTTTTGCCAAAAGTTTGATTTGCCAAAAGTTTGATTTGATTTTTCTTTTCTTTTCCCTCCCTCTTTTTTTTTTTATACTTTATCCCTTGTTGTTTTTCTTTATTATTAATTTCCTTTCTTTAATCGTATTTTTGAGTTTTAATTTTTCATTTTCAGTAACTTCCCACACCAAACTTTATTTTTTCATTGTTTATTTCTTTTGCCCCTCGTAAGACTTCGTTTTTCTTTGTTTACATTTTTATTTCTACGTGTTTTCAGTGTTTCTTTCTCGTTGTAAATAACTGTTATTTATTCTGTATTCCTTTATTTAAGTCTTTTCTGTGTAAATTTTTGCATTTATTTACCGCATTTATTTTTCTATTCGTTAGTTCTTCTTTATTTTAGTATTTTCGTTCGTGTTTGGGCTGACTAGTTTTTTCTAGTGGCAGCCATATTGTATTTGTGAAGTCGTTTGGCATTTTTTGTTTCGCATTTTTTGTTAAAAAAAAAAGATACCTTTTGTTTATTTTCCGTTTTAAAATGTGATTTTCATTTCCGTACTCGTTGTTTTGTAATTTGTTAGCTGTTTTTATTTTGAACGTATTTTTGTCGTTTTTAGCGTCGTGTTTCTGTTACTTTTTACGTCTTTAACTGTTCTGTCTTGTTAAAATTTTTTTGTTATTGTGATTTTTACGTGTTTGTCTTTTTCGCCTTTTAGGCGATATTTGTATTTTATTATACGTTTAGGTGAACCGTCTAATTGTTTTTTTTGGTGTCCATAATTATTTTATTTTGTTGAGTTTATTTCTTTTCCTCTCGCCCATATATTTATTTCCCACCTCCCCATTCCCCTCCCTTTTAAATATGGATAAGAAGGAAAAAAAAGTACCTTCTTTTTTAATTGTAAAAAGAAAATTAAAAATGCTTTCTTTTAAAAGAAGTATAAGAAAACACCTATTCAACCCCAAGAAGGATCCCCGGATAAAGATAATAAGGATGAATATCCTGACCTTCCAACTGTTCCTACTAATGAGGAAATTGTGGAAACTTTAAAAAAGCCTCCAAAAATATGGAGGCTGAAAAAAGTAATGACCAAGTAACGGACAACATAAATACTAATGCAGAGGCCGGGATTCGCCCTCTTGTTGGAAGTCCCCTCCTAAATGCATAATCAATTTAGTGGAGTTCTTGGAGCGTGCCAAGAGTTACGCCCACCTTGTTGTTGAAGGTGGTCTTTTGGAAGACCCCAAGAATTAAAGAGAATTGATAAAAGAATAGTGTCAGTTTTCGTCGTGGACAAGCGTACGCGCAAAATTTGTCGCTCGACGAAAACACAGTGTTGAAAGCACTAGAATCCTTCGGGTTCAAGCCCTTAGAATAGTTAAG